CTCGGAACAGCCAAATAAGCAAAATCGTACGTCAAGGGTTAGGTTAAAATTTTTCGGTATATTGGGAGATATAAAGTATTTTTTGGGTTTCTGTGTGGTATATACTAAAACAATTATTCACCCCAGCGTCGGTAGAAGTGGTGGATATTACCTCGCAGCTTTGCGGCTCGGTAAATGTCTACCGCGTTTACCCCCATTTCGTTGAAAACTTGTCAATTTCATTTATAATTTATCAAATATCCCCTTCCCACGCTTTACAAGTGTTTGACGCCAACCTTTTTGTCCCGCTAAAAATGTAATAATAAAACAAATGCTTGAAGGCTGATAAACACGGTAGGATCTTTTCGGCTTCAAAATATTGTCGTATAGTTGTCGTGGGACATCTAGATCTGTTCCTTAAATTACTCGATCTCTCGGAATAGCTATTGATCGTGAACAAATATCCATGCATATTTTTGCCCCAAATAGATTTTTTTGTTAATTTAATGAAAAATCCCACCCAAGTGAAGGGTTCATTTCGTGAACGTCGATTGGTTAGCTCTGAGTCAGTTAATTAGTTTAATCAGTCTCTGAACTTTTCATACTAGAGTTGTGTTATTCTTTTATTACAGCGAACTGTGGTTACTTAACGATATGTTACACCTTCAGAAATATTTCCAAATAAACAAATATACAAAAAATTGTTAAGGGTACCTTCTTATCGGAAGTTTCTGAGTCCTTGCTGCCGTCACATATTTCAAAATTGCATCCGGGAATACCTTCTCTTGAGACTTGGTTATTCTGTTTTTATTAAAAAGAGTAATAAATTCACGTATATGGTTAACAAATAGATTCCATTTGACCTACGTCTTTTCAGTTATGGATCTTAAATGACGTCAAATTGTAATAAGACTGAACGCATGCTGACGCTTGCATTCGAATTAACCAACTATGGATATTATTCACCACCAAATAGGCATCCAAATCATCGCACAATCTCTTAATTTTTCTCGATTTTCTTACCTCATTTTTTTTTTACAAGAATTAGACTGATTTTTTCACCAGGATAACATTTTAAATTGGAAATGAGTGTTAAAGATTTTGTTAACTACGCACTACTTATTATGTGCTCTAATTGGCTAGACAAACGATTTGAAGTGGCCAATTGAACCAGTCTGCTCTCTGTACGCTCAAACGCTGGATGCCAAAATTAGATATCACAGGACATTCATTTGGCTTATTTAAAGAGGGGAAAAGTAGGGGTGGTGCAGTTTAAAATTAAATTTCGTACCTCTTTGCATTTGAAACACAGTGATTCACGACAGCCGCACCAAAACCAAAAGAAAATGTACAGAACCTCATATAGAATATTGAATGGAACCGGAACAGAGTTGCCTTTGTCGATCCATTCCAGCCACATCTGGGTTCTTGAGAATTTCCACTCTACAACAGCGTTTTTCTGAGAAAAAGCGCATTTGTTACGTTTAACTGAGCATTGAAAAACAGACAACAACTTGGATCTTGTACAGAGACTAGAGCTGAAGTTGGGGAAATTTCCCTAACTAAAGCTTCCAGGGGGGTTATTGTCAGACTTGTTTGTTTGTGTTGTTAATTTATAGCGGGGAGAAGGGGGGTGTCCTAAGTTTGTTAAGTGGAACCGGTACCTTGCATTTTAAACGTAATCATCTCTTTTGCATGTGACTCTGAAACGATTTTGGTGATCATATTTTTCTAATATTTAGTCTGTATTGCCATGGTGATCGTTAAAAAATGTTTACTGAATAAATGGGTAAGTTTTTGACCAAAGTATGATGCTGCGTTGGTGGAGAGTACTACATGATAATTGGTTTTTTTATTATCTGAGTTGATAATGTAAATTGGTCACCTAGAAAGTTTCTACAGGTGACTTTCCGAACGTCAGCTTTACGTCACAGTACCCTTCTTCTTTTCTCACTGACAAAGAGATGATAACGGTCAGCAATTGATAAAACCAAATCATCTTTCAAAAGAAGCTTGTACTGTGATTGCAGAGACACCTAAACTTTTGTCAGTTGTTTTGCGTCAACTTTTTAGTTTTTGTCTCTGGTTTTTGTAGAATAACTTAGCACCAAACTAACCCTTTAAAGTTACCTTGATTTCGTGGAATGTGTCGTTCATCATAGCAATCAGCATGCTGAGGGCAACAAGGATGGTACATATGACGTAGGCTCCCATAAATACGCGACCAAACTTGGTTATGAGAGTGAAATCTTGATCCTGCACTGAAATGCTCTCTTCCTGTCCACCACCACCAAACAGCAACCAGAACAAGACAATGAAAGTGTTGGTATGTCTAAAAAAGGTGTGAGAACGAAATGTTATCTCATTTTTTTTTTTTTATAGAAACTAATGTTATAGCCGTGGACTAGGCTTTGCTATCAACATGAGTTCATGACTAATCAAATTTTGCAACTGGCATACAACTTTGAAATATATATAACAGGCGTCGTCAGTTCCAGTTTTTTTTTTTAAGTTTCTGTCTGTTTATCACTCCTGATCGTCTCTTAGTTCGCAAAGGAAAGTTAAAAGGCTGTATGGGAATAAAAATACTCAGTATTTTTGGAAATATTTCAAGTTTTTCAATCATGGAAACATGTTATTTAAATAAATTTTAAGCACGAAACAAAATGGTGTTCAGTAATAGTTTGAAACCGAAACTTAGCTCGACAACCACCTACGAGAAAAATCCAAAGATATTCTGGAATACTCACAATGAAAATGGATGAGAAAGTTGGTAGTCAGTGGTTTCGGTGTCCCGCTTTTGGAGCTCTCTTTGAGAGGCTTCATAGTACGAGTAAATCTTGGCCACCCCAGTAGCAAACGCAAAGTAGAGAAGGAGAAAGATGGCAAGAAACTTAAGGACATCTCTCAGCATTTTGTAAAGTGACAGCTGTAAGGGACCCAGCGTTGAATTGACCTGGAAAAAGTGTGCCAAGTGAAAATAGGCCACGACGCAAGCACTGGCATAAATGCCATCTGCATAGATGAAAACTTTTTTTTCAGGCTTCCACTCTCCGTAAACGCCCCACGCGATCAACCATAGACCGTAGGCCCCCATGAATGTGAGGATAATCACTGTATCAACAACATTCCACCACTTTGAGAAGTAAATGAAAGCACCTTGCCTCCAGGCTTCCACGATTTCCTGTATTAGTAGGCCAAGGACGAAGGGCATTATAACCAAATCTGTGGGTAGAAGTTATTAATCCAGTTATAAGTAAAGCTGATGTACTCTATTTGTTTACCCATGAACAAGGACTAATTGCAAACTCCAAAATGCTTGCACTCCGCTGCAGTTCTCCTGTGGATATGTCCCCTAGATCTTGTCAGGTATGAAATCAAAAGGCAAGCGTTGCAGCCCACTTGTTATGATAGCGCTTACCGATATTTCTGTTTAGTATAATTGCTCAGGTGTGTATAGAAAGACACGCACTCAAATAGGTTGAGGATTGCACCATATCTCACCATAATCACCTCGTGCGTGGTGATTAGAGCAGGGGCCCATAATAGTCAAAACAGCTACCTTGCGTTTGTCAATGTTACTAAGGAAGTGATAAACATGAAAGAAGAAAATATAATTCTGAGGAAACTAGTTGCTTATCTCTATACGAGGACTCTAAACAATTGTAATAGGATGGTTTCAACAGCAAAACGAATTTGCAACAGAATTCTGAAGCACCTGAAAAATTATACTAAACAATTAATCACCTCAGGCTCATTGAATTTAGTTGAAAATCCCCTCGACAATCCCACTTCCTCCCCAGCAATTTGGTGTTAATTACAGCCCACTCATTAATTTCCGACTGATTCTATAGGCTAATTTTCGTCACGTGACACAAAATCACCAGGAAGTTATCACGCAAAAAATCCCCCGTTCGCATCAGTATTTGTGCTCCGATTATTTCCGTCGAAAAGGAACACAGGCAACGGAAAAAGCAAGCTCAGGGGTTTCACTTTCTCATTTTTATTACGGTTTATAGAAAGAAAAAACGAACTGTAGAGTCCTGTAATAGTAACATTAAAAAGCTGATCTGAAATGCTACTTTGAAAAGTACGAAATAAACAAAATTTGTTGTCAATCCCCGGTACAAAAATCAATGAGAGGGTTAGAAAGTAAATAAACCCTCTCCTGGCTTGCCGTTATGTCTGCTGATAATGTCCTCGGCTGAGGGATTGCCCTCGTAGCTTCTCTCTTAAGCCAAATAGTCATTTTTCAGAAAATACACCAGCCGTGGACATTATCAGCCGACATGCCAGCCGCATTAAGGATGATTTATTTACTTAATATTTGTCGAGTGTTAGAAAAATAGATGCATTCAAATTGCAAGTCATGAAGGGCAGAATCTTATTTTCTCATCTACCACTGAAGTTTTCGATGTATCTTCGTACTAATTTACAATATTGGGGCTCTGAAACAATTGGACTCAAAAGCACTCAAATTCCCCTGGATTTTGTTGGTGGGAAGCGGCAAGATAAAATCACGACTTTCTGTGTTAAGAAATTTCCTCTTACATTACTTATTTGGATTTTGCGTGACGACTAACTATCAAAATAAAATGTATCTTACACAAGTTTCCGTTTCGCCCTTTAAAGAACACAAGATTTGAAATGGATTATTCAGATGAAATCAACTTACCAATCCACGTAAGGCCTGCTCTGCCAGGCACATACTTGTACTCAAAAGATGACCCAAAGATTAAAGCCAGAAATATAATGTATGACATGGTGTGGTTAAGAAACTTCGAGTAAGGATGCTCATACAGCTTTCTCAGCCAGTGGGAATCAAATCTGCAGCACGGGAAATTCTTGCGAATTAACTTTAGTGGAATGTAAAAAGGGATCGTAAGGCTGACGAGTAAAAGTTGGAGCAAGCACCAGGCTGCTTTAATCCCGATTCCCCTATTTCGCCAACCAGGATATCCGCGGTAGATGACTTCGTCAAGAACAAATTGACAGTTTGGGCTTGCCACAAACTGAAAATCAAGTAAAACCAAAGTGAAACTGTGGTCAAAATGAAATCCTTATGAGCGGCTTTGTACAAAAGAAGGCGTGAAAAAATGCTGATGTTTGTCAATGCTAGACGATAGACAACAATTGGCTAGTGTTAGAGAAATGTTTGGTTTATTATGAGAAAATTAATTTCCCTGAATTGATGCTGAAATTCAACAGTATTAGCAGGTTTGAGAATCGCGTAGTTGCTTGTTATTGAGGGTAAGACAGCTCTTGGAAAAACATACCACTTTGGATTTGCAATGAAATCCAATTTTATACTCAGCCATTTTCTTATTCCGATCTTCGAGGTTAATGTTTGCAAGCGAGGTTTCGTCCAAGGTTAATTCCGTGAAAATGGGCTCAGAAAGGTTTAAATTTACTTTTGAACCTCGCGTCCTCTTTGTGAGAGAGTCTGACGTTGCCTGACCAAAATAGTTTATTGCGTTTTTAGTGCTGCTGTCGCGTAAAACTACTGAAATTTCTAACCGGCGCCACCCTTACAAGTTCTGGGGATCATCTGAGAATGTTCAGAAGCGAAGCGCCGGGAACAATTGAAATTAACAATTAAATGGAGTGTAACTCACGAAAGTACGGGGAATGATCTATTACTCAGAGACTTTGTTAAATTTGAAAGACGTTAAGTCTGCTAGTTGTCATTTTTCTTTCCCTGTCTTTTCCGTTATGTCAAATACGTCTGACGTTTCCGGTATATGATTTAGATCCTGCAAAGATAATGAGCATCGATTTCATACTTTCGCAAATTAAAATCGTAAACTCTGGCGCAAAATTCTCAATGACAAACAAGCCAAATTTTTTTTTTTAAAGAGGTCTTTCAGTTTAATCATTGGGTGTGTGGTAATGCGTTTCTTATGATGAGGTGTCCTGTGTTTGACCAAGCCGACTTGATTTATTGACAGGCTTATGAGAGGAATGCAAGTTCAGTCGAATAAACATCATTCCTCGGATGCTTGCGGCTGAGCCACCTTAACCTCCATCTAAACAGCTTTGCCAGAGACACAGGCAAACGGACCTTAGCCACACTCAAAAGACACACACAAGCGAAGCATTCTACACCCCCTACCCTATTTTCACTTGCCTAAATTCTGTAAGTTATTTTGAAGGCAAAGTGCGTTATCAACTGTACCCCGGCCACAGGAATGAATTGTTCTCGCTGAGTTAAATTGGCTCTTAAATTTACTTACGACGGTTTTTTTATTCATATCGTTTTCCGAGAATTCAATTTCTCCGAATACATGATGTCTCTATTACCGTTAAACGTTTTTGGTTGTCAACAAAATACAAGATAAAGTTTTTGTTATATTTTACCTATATGAGTGCGGATTAAAGCCTGAGAAAAATCAATTTCACTCTCAAGCGGAGCCTGGAAGACTTATTAACGAGGTAATTTGGTACTATCAACTGAGTTGGTAACGTAAATTCAAATTTACAATAAATTCAAACAGTGTATTCATTAGACTTATCAATTTACCACTCACCATTTTGCGCTCTTTATTAGCAGCCATCTTGAGCAGACTCAAGCTACGAATAAAATCATTGGACTCCTTCTTCACCAAAGCTCCCTCTCCGTCGATATCCATGACTTTGTGCAGCAGCTCTTTGTTGTCGTTTACTTGCTCAACGATGTCTATGGCAAACTTTTCACATTCCTCTGCACGATCCATGTATTTATCATGGCTGAAGTGATTTTCGTACGAAGCCATTTTTTCCAGTAGAAAAGCATTATCAAGAGCGGCTTCAATTATGCTTCCTTTCTCGCTTTCCTCGTGCTGAGGAGACTGTGGATTATTCCTCCACAGCCATTCCAGACTTAAGCACAGAGGGTTGCTTTGAATATCTAGGTTTAATCGATCTTCTTCGCTCGGCAAATCTTCCTTCCCGTTGTTCTCGCGGAGGCTATTCAATTCGGAGTAGATAAACTTACATAACCAATCCTTGACTTCCTCTCTGTCGGCAACGGATTTGGAAACTTCATTTAAGTCCTTAAGATGCGGTATGTTTTTGAATTCTTCATTCGATAGAAGTTTCCAGACCTTATAGGCGTCTCCTTCTTCAAGGGCGTCAGACAGTTTCTGGCGGTAGCTTCTTTCAGTTGCTTCCTGCTCTCCATCCCCATCCAAATCCAGGGTTCGTTCTACTTCATCCCGGGTTCCTTCCCGTACTTTTTGAAGAAATGAATCAAAGTGTCCTTTATCGCCTTGAGGCATACTTTATTGTGTCCGGGTCAAAAGATCGACAAAACGCTTCAACATGAATTGTTGGAGGCTCTCACGGAGAGAATTCATGGAAATATGGACAGCAAGGCAGCTGTATTTGTCCATTCTTTCTCGTCCCAGAGCCTCTCATTTTCACGTATCATGAAAGGTGATTCCAGTGTCACCTGGAAACAATGATTTTCAATGGCTGATGAAAACTGTATGACGGCCAACTACTGTATGACTAAATTTCTGCACACTTGGGTCGCGTGATAAATTTCAAAGTTATTGTTCCTGTCGTTGTTGTTGGCGTCATGAAACAGAAAATGCTGTATCATGTAATTTGACTCCGAAGTTACAGAACTGCTTCAGCTTCGGTTAATTCCCGGAAAATGAGTTTACGAGCAAGGCAAGCTGAAGCCGTGTGACTCGGTTTTAGGAGTAGGTATCGAGTGAAAGGATTTTAGATTTCAATCGACGGCTGTATCGCGATGAGAGACCAAGAAGGAAACACGTATTACTGGGGAAAAGGTTAGACAAAGCACATTGAATTCGTCATTCGCCAGTCTAAGAAGACATTGATTGCTGCGACTGCGGATGGAGATTCCAATAATAGAAATAAAAAAAAATGGGCAAACCTATGAGACCTTTTTTTACCAAATTTCTCTGCTTCATGGCAATCGCAGTAGGCAGAGTACAGCTTTCAATCTATTTTTGGAGAGAGAAATACGGCGAGAAATGCCAGAAATTGCACCTAATTCCCAGAGTACATCGCACATTTAATTACAACACATAAAGTAACACCAAGAGTCCTCTTGAAGCACTAACTAAGCTTGTTATTCTACCATGAAAACCATGAAAACGATAAAGCACCACAAAGATCTCTGCTATATATATAACGTCTCTTCAACGCTTAACTTCGTGTTCAACTGTCACGCCACATTACACGTCACGTTACACGTCACGCATCACGAGTGTTATTTACGCTCCAACAGTAGGTGATACTAGAGTCATTCTAAAGCTTCTTGTTATTGTAATTTTCACCTCATGCATTTCATTTTGAAGAGTGCATAATATCGGTTACTTTTTTAATTAACTCATGCTCCAATTTCGTTAAAAGATACCGGTTATGGACATTGAGCGCGTATCCAGATTCCATTAGGATTTTCGTGCGAAGAACACGAAGTACGTGTACCCTAACGCCTATGGGCCCTTTGACGAAAAATTTGCTTTGTAGGAATAGAAGTTTTTCCTTTAGGACTAGAATGCAAGTGATATTTCACAGGGACTAAGGTTACTTTTACAGTAAGCAGAGTACCAGTTTTCGCAACTTATCTTTATTTTACTTGTCGGTCGAAATTATACAACACGTAACAAAACTACAGTACACTCTCCGTTTATCAAACTATAAAGGTTGAATCAAGAAATACAAGTAAAGTCGCCGATCTGTAGCAACACTCAAATATTCTCAATTACTATGAAACGCTGGTCAATAAAAAGTTGAACTCTCAACAATCTCTAATAAAAGTTTGCTTTGGGAGGCACCCTTATAAAGGCTTGCTGGGATCTGATGTTTCTAGAGAAAGCAATTTGATGGTAAACAGCAAGCAGGTAACAACGACTTTGACAAAAAAGGTATTTTATCGTGTCGTATGATCCTTCGAATGAAGAAAGTCTTGACAAGAACTGCTGTCGGTACTACGGACTGATTTTTTGACAACCTTAGCGGAAGTCATCATCAGAATCGAATGAAGAACAATAAAAACAAGTATGGAAATGTTATATTCAGCTAGTTCATAATCTAGATCATCATAAAAATTAAACCATCGCTCAGTGATTCAAATCTTCTATCATGTGACCTATTTCTTGATATTTAGAAAAATTTCGATATTATATATAATAAGATTTTACTATTTATATAAGTTTCGGTTGTGGAACGCCAGCGGTTAATACACGGCAGCTGCTTATGAAATACCTCGTTCTGTTAGTGGACAGATTTCTACTAAAAAAGAGTGGACTTCAAAATGTTCTTCTTAACCTTGGGTCCTCTTGATGGTTTCGCCATGAAGTCTGTCCATTTGTCTGAGTAAGGCCCTTTCAGATACTTCACGATCCAATTTTCCATTATTGCAGTGCGTTTAGAACAAAAGAGATCGTTTGTTAGGATATAAGAATGGCAGCGTTTGACAGAAAGCTTGTAAAACGCGAAGAAACAACAGCAACAGGCAGGTGGAGCGAGAAAGGCAGTCCTGGATTGTTCTCACCCGTCTACTACATTTTGCCATGTGTCTGTCCATTTGTCCGAGTAACGTCCCTCCAGATAGTCCACGACCAAATTTTTCATTACCACAATGCGTTCCTGTTTAGAAGAGAGAGAATCAAATTTTAAGATGACAGAATGGCAGCGTTCGACAGAGCGCTTGTTAACCTTAGGAACAAAAGAATGGAACGATGGACTTTGCTCCTGACTGGCTTTAATACCGCAACTGTGCTACAGGGTAGAAAAACTAAAAGGAGATCTCACCGGGCTTGAAAAAAACAAAAAGAGAGTCTTTCTCACTAACTCGCCTCCAGCTGCCTCATTCAGTTTTGGTAGCGTATATCCTTTTAAACTTTCTCTCTCTAATTCTTTTAGCTCCTCAATAACAGTTTCGATGAATTGTTCTCTTCGTTCTTGGGGTTTTTGTTTAACAAAACTTGATGTATTGTATCTCAATGATGAATTTCATGTTTCACTCCTATTAAAAATATGGATCAATATCAGTATCTGGGCAACTGCCCACCTACCCCTCCCCTAACTCAACAACAGTCAATTGATAACAAGTCAGGGTTAATGCTGGGTTAGGGGAGGGGTAGGTGGGCAGTTGCCCAGATACTGATATTGATCCAAAAATATCATACCTCGGTTGTGGAAGGTGGCGAGTTCTTGCAACAACTCTCGCGGCAACGGCATTTTCTCATACAGCAACAACAACACGGTTGATCCTGGTTAACGTCACTCTGAAGTAAAGGAATCATACAAGTAGTCAATAACATTCACTGCACCTGGGAAACACCAATTTTTTTATTCAACTACTTCAATAAGGTTTATGATATGACTATTATCCGCCAATCAATTCGAAGCTTCAACATCCCCCCTGGCAACTCAAGGAAATTTGATTGTCGTTCCTGCCAGCGGTTGGGGATTTGAACCTTGTCTGGAGGGGGGGGGGAATTTGAACCGGAAATGTCAAGTCTTTTCAGCCGAATAAACGTGTCTCAGTAAAGGAATTTAAAATAGGGCAACAACACTGAGAGGAGAGACCGAAGAATCTAGAAGAAGTTCGTATATTCCCTTCAACTCTCTCTTTCACATTGTCTTATTTTTGAGCCTCTCAGTAAAAATTTCTGTGAATTGAAGTCTTAGATCTTTTTTTAGCAAGAAGGGTTTTTGTTTCTCAAAACGTGATGTATTACATCTCAATGATGAATTGCATGTTCTCTCCTCCGAACAACAAAAGGTTTCATCTTGGTTAATGTTGTTCTAAGGCGAAAGAGTCATACTTTTGGTTGATGAAATTCACTGCGCTTTGAGAAAACTCCACTTTTGTCTTTCTAACTACAGCAAAAATGTATATTAGTTATTAGAGAATTACATTAGTATATGATTTTAAAGCAAGAAATAGTGTAAACATTTTTCAAATGGTAGTCTTGTTTTATGACAAAAAGGAATATCGCACAGAAAGTAAAGTACTGTCTTTGTCTACGTAGGGCGAGTTAAAAAGAGGAAACTTCAGAAGTTATATAGGGTAGAAAACGAAAGCCAAAAAAAAAAAAAGAATTAAACCAGAGTTACCAGGAATGTAATGTAGGGCGAGTTAAAAAGAGGAAACGTCAGAAGTTATATTGGTAAGAAAACGAAAGCCAAAAAAAAAAAATTAAACCAGAGTTACCAGGATAATATTGAAGGAAAACGCCACAGGAAACAGTTTCTTTAAGGGTACATCTCTTACCTTAATGAGTACGATGGATAAGGCTCTTTTACAACACAGTAAGACGACGTAAAGAATATTGAAAGGTACTGGAACTGTGTTGCTTTTGTCAATCCACTCCAACCACATTTCAGTTCTTGAGAATTTCCATTCTTCTTGAGCATTTTCCTTCGAAGATAAGTACTAAATTAAATCATTTTTTGTCCATCGATATTCTTATCAAATATAAAAGAAGAAAATACCATATGAAATTTTATACTTTAAACGTACAATATGCTTTTTACCACAAAACTGGATCGTTACAAGTGAAGGAACCGGTGACAATTCACCTTCACTGAGAAAATAATAACGAAATATTGTTATCTAAAACCAAGTAAACGTTATTTTTTTCAACTAAAGAAGTGCCTTACGAAGAATATCACCGAATTGCGACTTAAATTTTTTAACAAGTGGCCCACGATTTATACATGAATTTAAGGCAGAGGATTTTTTCTTGGCTCTTTATCAATACCATGCACATACCATAATTCTACGGAATGAGTCATTCATCATGGCAACCAGCATGTTTAAGGCAACCATCCCTGTGCAGATCACGTAGGCTCCCATGAAGATCCTTCCAAACTCGGTAACCAGGAGAAATTCTTGATCCCTCACCGAGATGCTCTTTTCTTCTCCACCACCACCAAACAAAAACCAAAACAAGCCAATGAAAGTGTTTACATGCCTGAAATATATGAAGTAGCGAGCATATTTAGTCAAGAGGGTAATGAAAGTCAAAGCGAAGAACTTTACATTCCTGTTCAGTTGCCACATCACATCAAAATGGACTATTTCCGAGATGCCCAAGGCCTATGCTTTAAAAGGAGGGTGAATTGTTATTGTCATGTGAACAAAACTAGCCTTCACAAGAAACGTAATTCGGTATTATCTACTGAGTTGTTTACGTAAATTAGCCACCGTTAAGAGTTTCAAAGCTGACGTTTCTAGCGTTAGCCCTTCGTCAGAGCTCTTCCTCCGCTCTTTCCTGTTATACCAACCCACTGACGCAGCTCCACAGTTTCTTCCGATAGTTACCCCGCCCCTTTTTTCACAAGGAAGGTTTTGCTCATGGCCTTTCTTTGAAAGTAAGATTGTTTGGAACTCGGAAACGGCCTTTTCGCGGTGGGATATACTAGTCGTGTCTGTATTTGAGCAGTCAATGCTTTAGCAACTAGAGAATATCAGATGATATTCTCTCGTGTAGCAATTATGAAGTTATCCTTATTAAGAAGACTATTAATTCAGTGGTCAGTTGGTTGCCTTTCGATACATGAATAAGACAGTTTGCTTGCATTTACCCTCTCAGAGACGCCTCTGTTTGCGTTTTAATGTAAAGCGTACATTTTGTAAGTATTTGGCTACCTTTTGTTAAAAATATGTTTTCAAAGTTAAAGTTGTTTGAAACAGGATAAATGTGTAACACCACACCACCACACGAGAAGTTCGAAATCCATACTATTACAACTTTTAGTCGCAATAGTAAAATAATTAATTATTTTAATTAAAAATTAAATACATACAAGGCGAATGGATGGGAAAGTTGGTGATAACTAGTTCTGTTGTCCCGTTTGCTAAGCTCCATCTCAGAGGCGACATAGTAGGAGTAAATCTTGGCCATACCAGTGGAAAATGCAACGTAAAGAACAAGAAAAATCAAAAGGAACTTTAGGACATCTCTCAGCATCCTATAGAGGGAAAGCTGCAAGGGACCAAGCACTGAACTGACTTGGAAAAAGTGTGCCAGGTGAAAAAAGGCAAGAACGGAAGCGCTGGAATATATAGCATCGGCCACGGTAAATGCATTTTTTCCAGGGTTCCATTCTTTATTACAGCCCCATGCCCCTAACCACACAGTGTATGACAGTAGAAATAAAAAGACGATTAGTGTGTCTACAACATTCCACCACTTTGAAAAGTAGATCGACCACCCTTGGTTGCAACATTCCACGACTTCCTGTAAGAGTAGCCCGATGACGTAGGAAATAACGGCATAGTCTGTGGATAGATTCAAACGACTTAGTTAAACCAAACTCCTTGCAGTTTGATTTTGAATATTTATTTTAAATGTATTTTTAACTCACACGCTTTAGCATGCTAATGCCAAATGTTGAAACATGTTGGCCCAGGTCTTAAACATTATTGCCTTTTTTATCCACGAACATCTATTATCATGTTTGTTGTTTTAATTAAGAAACATTCATAACAGATGTATTTATTCATTACCTTCAGCACTTGAATCGTGCTGGTTAAACAGATGCTCGACTCACCGGAATTAAGTGTCTCCCCTTGACAGAAAGGTTCATTAATCCATTGAGCCGTCATAAAACGTCATTTTTCGAATAAACTAGTCTGTTCTTTCGCAAATGGAAACTTTGGCCATTGAGTTGACCAGTTTTGGGTGCGACTGTCGTCTTCGCCAACATTGAAAGCAATGTTTTGATTATAATTTACTTACCAATCCATGTCAAAGCTCCCCAACCGGCTCGAATCTCATACTCGAAGGACGAGGCATAAATCAAGCACAGAAAGGCCACGTACGACATGACATGATTGATGAACTTCGAGTAGGGATGCTCAAACTGCTTTTTGAACTTCCACAAGCGGGGATTCTCAACGCAGGTGGTACATTTAGGGCATAATAAAATGAAAATGTAGCCGATACTTGTTATGATGACAAAAATTAGTTGGAGGCAGAACAAGAGCGTTTTTTTCAGTATTCCTTTATCTTGCCATTCTGGACAGTCATGGTAGATGACCTCGTCGAGGATAAATTGACATTTTGGGCTCGTCACAAACTGAAAGACAAAGGGATTCAAAACAAAGGACTATCATACAGTGAAACCCTGGAAGACTTATCAATGCAAACGATAACACTTGTCTAATTCAAACCAGACAATGCATTGGCAACGCGGAATATTTATCATCTTAAGCTTTAGATCTACAGAGGTCAGTTCCTATTAATCTCTCAAAATGCTTTAATGGCCTTTATTTTCGAATTTTTTATGCATTTCAGCCATCGTTTTATGATTTCATTACATTTTTTGTCAGCTTTTTGTCTCCTCAGAGCTCGAGTGAGTTGTTTGCATTCCGATATAACTGAGGAAACAATGGACATTTTTTGGTCGTTAAAAAAAAAAGATTCAGATCATTCGTAAGCTGAGTTAGAGCATAGTCATGTACATCTTTAAGTAACTAAATTTTTCAAAGCGTGACATTTCCATATACATTCAAGACGAAACCAACCTTTTTCTGTTTCTTATCTGTAGCTATCTTTAGAAGACTCAGACTGTGAATAAATTCTTTGGACGTTTTTTTTAGTAACGCTCCTTTTCCTTCGAAATCCATTATTCGGACCAGCTCTTTAAAACGATCCGCCCGATCGACAACATCAGCTGCAAATATCTCACATTCGGTCGCACATTTCAAGTATTCATCTCTATTTAGGTCGTGCTTGTAAAAGCTCCTTTTCACCAAGAGGCGGGCATCAAAGAGGGCAGCTTCAACAACCCCTTCAAACTTCCTCCTCTTCTTATCATCTTCCTCTGTGCGATTTTTGTTTTCATCTCCATTGTTTGTAGAATGATTACCGGAACGCAAAGGGACTAAGGGTGTATCATCAGTTTCTTGGTGTGGTACAACATCCGTAGATTTAACTTCTTTACTTTCTTTTCTTATGTTAGAAGGAGAATGAGGTTTATTTCTCCACAACCATTCCAGACCGATGTACAACGGATTGCTCAGTATCTTAATCCATATCTGCTCATAATTGTCTTTGAGGTTCTCCTTTTTTTCCTCAGTGATGAGCTTCTCACCACAGGCCATAATCGATCCTTTTATAGATATACACAAGCTCTTCAAACGTAGACATGCGCGCTCAAAGCTGAACCCATTATCTTTCACATTCTCCTCTTCCACGATATCTTTAAACTTAGCACTTAACGTTCCGATTGTCTCATGCTCCTGTTTTTCTTCCATCTCGACAATGAGTTTCCAGATTTCAATGATATCCCCCTCATCGAGAGCGTCTAGAAGTGGCTTCGATAGACATTTATTGGTATCGGGATTTCTCTCCCTCTCTCTATCCGTTCTTATGTGACTCGACAAAAAGGCTTTCACATCACCCTTTACCCCTTTTCGCACTATTTTCAGAAAGACACGAAGAATTCTACCGTCTTTTATATCTTGTTCTTCGTCCGGAGAAAATTTCGGCGCCATAGCGTTGGCAACATTGGCATATGTATGGGGCAATTTTCAACTGAGTTTCTTAAGTAATTTGAGATTGTTAAGTGTTTCTTTGCTTCGCTCTGTGATTGGTGCAGAAAATTCACGCCACACTTTCAACCAATCAGATGCAGATCTAAACCTGGTGGCAAATTGGTCATCTGGGTGTTCCCACACTAAAGGCTGTCTGCTTTTTTCTTGGAGTTTTGGGGTGTACTCCTCAGCTTCAATTGGTCGTTTTATTACTTTGGTTTTGGTTTGACGACACTCAATTGAAAAACGCTCTTTACTTTGCATGAATCGCTTAGTAACAGTGGAGAAGATGATGGTAATTGATTCAATTGGGTCAAAGGCTTCGGTTAGTTTTTTGTGGGTATATTATTGTAAGTCGTCGGTAAATATTGCTTGTATATGTTGGAAACGCTTTCGTTACTATGGCCAATGGTTCCGATTGTATCGTACAGATGGAATCTGAATGTTTGACTGTAATTTCACTCCCTTACAGAACTCAATATGGATCAATAATCAAGAATGAAATACCACGTAATGCGCACTCTTATAGCATAAAAAAAGTTGTCGTTTAGTAGAGGAGTACCTGGATTATCCAGACTCGTGAGGAATGGGATGAAAAGTCCGGATAGTCGAAAGTCTAGATAATCGAAAATATGAATATTAATTAGGTAAACATAAAACTGAGTAACTTAAAAGAGGAAACGTATCCACATTATACAAGAATTTAAACAGATTTTCGAATCACTGTGTATAGCCTGTTAAAGTACATCAAAGCCAACGAACAACGTCGTATATCGACCTCACGTGATGTGTACGCGCTGCAAATTCCATTATTCTCTGAAGCTACACAAGCTGAATAGTGTCAACATTGTTTTCCTTTCCATCCACGTCAAACCTTTCCTATATAGGCCGCGACTAAAAGGCGAAGGGAATGTAATCTGAGTCACTTAACCTTAAGATGTCCCTCTCCTCCCTGGGTTAAACGTCTTAGAACAGATATATCATGGACCATGATTACACACGTATCACTGATTGTTAGAAATTTTAACATACGGCAGTGGTTGGAATCAGAGTATCTCATTTCGCCAACTGGAACAAAAAAATTAGGACCGAATCTGCCAGTGAGAATGGACAACTACAGAGAAAGCTGTAAGACGACTGTTCTATACCAGAGCTACAAATCGTAGTTTTTCATCAGTTTTTTGCTTCGGAAATTTTCTTCACAAGTCTATTGTGCATCACCTGACCTATTGCGGTTCAAAGTCATTAATAACGTACCATTAAAATTTATAGGACGTAGTAATCTCCAAATTGTAGCCAGAGAGAACCTCCCGATAGGATTTCGCTTCTGGGTGAGCTGGAGATTCCAATGCTTCCTCATTATATTTTTTTACCATCTAGAGACCAAAGTAAGAAAAATGTTGTTTCTTTCGAGGAGTGAAAAATCGTAAAATTTTTTTCGATTGTTTGGTTGGCCTATATACTTTATCCATTGCATAAAGGACCCACTGAAGTGGTTGGTTACGCTGAGCACATTGCGAACTTGCTGACGAGGCGTCATGACGATAGATATTTAATAACATGAAGTATTATCGTTTGTCTCTCGATGTAGTCACTTCGGGTGTAGATCATGACGTTTCGACTGCATACTGCTCTTCCTCCAAGTAAGGTTCACCCTATAAACTATTCCGCTCAGCTGTCGGATTGGCGCATTTTGTCAGCGGTTCCCCCGGCGGTCCGTTACCGCACGGTTCTATTGTTGTGCTAATTTCTATTACCTGGATTGCCTCTTTCACCAGTAGATATAACTGATAACCTGTTTAACGAATAACCTCTAGGATTGTTTCTGAGATATTAGCGTTTATTCGTAATGATTTAGTTTCTGAGGGGATGCTATATTCAGAATATGAAATGTAACACCTGTCATTAACAATAAGTTGGTGATCCTGGTGATTGTTATCCAGTGGGAACGCATAGATGTCGGAAAAGAAATTAGAATAAAATGGTAAATATTTATTTAGCTAGAAATAATCTAGGTGAACAAAAAATTAAATCGCTGGTGATACTTATCTTTTACCACGTGACTTCTTTCTTAATATTCGAAAGCTTTCGATGTTAGGGATAACTAGATTTTACCATTTAACCCAGCTACTCCCGCAACTTAGGAACGAAAGTTTGAGAATGTCTGAGGTAAGCTTGGGGGTATGGTGACAGAACACACAGCTGGGAGACGCCCTGAATTTGAGGTGACAGATAATTCAAGAAACTTTGTGCTGCTCACGTAACGACGTTGCATGCTAACAAGCGATTTTCAGCGGCGTAAACGAGAAAATTTACCGCTGATCTTAGCCGGGAAGCTTCAATAAATAAGCTAGAAATTCAGAGAGAAACAAAAATTTCAATCCCTTTAAGCCGGTGAAATAAACGAATAAGCCCTTTTTAGAAATTGGTTGAGTGACCAGCAATCGGTAACCTTGTCACTGGTGTGAAGTCAAGAATTCGAAAGACCATATTTCATTCATCCTGATAGCAAATGTTGTACCATGGCAGGTTGAGATATTATGACTATTTGAGAACTTATATTTTTGTCTCTCGATCTATTTCTGTGAAAGCGATAAATCCTGCCCTCCAGTGAAATTTTATTTTATCAAGTTCAAGAAATTTAAGGCAGATTCTTATATTCATAGGAGGCAGACTAAACGAAAATGAATGTAAAAAAGTCGATAAAAAAGTTTCAGACTTGTAAGCAACAAACGGTGTGAAAAAATAGATTAATACGAAGATTCGTATGAAAATCATGTGAGAGTGACGGATGGTCAAATCGTCTTCAGCACTTGCAAAACCTTCAAGTTTTTCCAACTCTTTGAAACCTCTGCTTAAACTATACAAGATAACATATTTGAAGTTTATTCATTCATTCATTCTAGAAAAATTGTTTGTTGAAATTGGCTGAATCATTAATTTTCCGAAGAAGAGGTCACTTGACAAACTGTTGCAAAAGGCCTAATAGTTCTCCTACAGTGTTTATGTGGAAAAGTATGAAAGAAAGTTCACCTGGTCGCTGAAAATAGGCTAACACTTAGGAAGCATGCACACTACACTACAAGACTGATCTGGACAAGCAGGGGATAAAATATGACACTTGCCTATGAAATATTATATTGTGTTAGTGGAGCGATTATTTCAAAACAGCGTATTTCATGCTTTTCCTGATGGTTTGGACATTAAGTCTGTCCACTTCTCTGTCCACTTCCATAATCATCAGACTGAGCTTTGATTATTTCGGATAGTGGGAACTTCTCTGGGTAACGTTCCATCAGATACTTCACGACCAGATTTGCCATTACCTTCTTGCGTTCCTGTTTAGGAGAAAAAGATTCAAGTGGTAAGACGACAGAATGGCAGCTTTAGACGGAGAGGTTGTCAACCTTAGGGATAAAAAAATAGAACTACGAATTGATAATTCTCAACCCTTTCTCATATAATCATCAGACTGAGCTATGATCAAAATGTATAGTGGGAACTTCTATTGAAAATCAATTTTTTTGCTTCAAAGTCAGTCTATAATTACTCAATATATTACCAATGTTTCATCATAATAATACTGACTTGGTACTGACTTGGTGACTCCTACTCCCGGCAGAATACCGCCTGCTTGAAAGCTAAGAGCAACAGTACGTGAAAAAGTCTAAAATAGACTCAGAATCTGAGAAGTTTATGGCCAATTTCAAGTCAAAGGTTACTAGTGTAGCGGAGAAGTCAATCCGAACGCACAATATAAATCACGGTTTAATCAAATGAAGTGCGTAATCAAAATTACAAACTAAATAAGGAGATCGGTGTGAAAACACAGATGAAGAGAGCGAAGTGAGATCAAAGATAGCGTAGTTATGATTGATGGTAACGTTGTAGCTGAATTTGTGTGTGGTTCGAACTTAAAGAAAATGCAGCAGAAACTAAACTAAGAAAATATCCCTGAGAAATGTAAATCGATATACGTATCAAAAAAGAAATAAATCGATATACGCATCAAAAAAAAAAAAAGGAAATATCTTAAATATGAAATTGGTCTAGCTCCTAATGATTGTAGATAAATCGCCAATAGCGGATCGTACATGAATAGCAGACAAAATTGATGGTGTCGACAGCAACTTATAGCGATGAAATATGAAATATAATATCTGGTACATGTGCTTAAATGAAACTGATTTAAATAAAAAAAAAATTATTGTGTTGCTTTTGCTGGTAACTGTCTTATATGCACCTGACAGGCTTGAACATTTTAAGAACCGTAACGGTGCTACGGGCAAGAGAGAGTGAGAGGAGTGACCAACGGGTTTGGAAAAAACAAAATGAAATTCGTATTTGCAAACTCACCTCCTGCCTGCCTCATTCAATTTTGGTAGCGTATATCCTTTTCAAATTCCTCGTCTACGTTGTCTTATTTTTTTGACTTCTCAGTAACAGTTTCGATGAATTGTTCTCTTAGTTCTTGGGGTTTTTGTTTCACAAAATTTGATGCATCTCAATGATGAATTTCATGTTTCACTCCTCTTAAAAATATCATACCTCGGTTGTGGAAGGTGGCGACTTCTTGCAAATATTCTCGAGGCATATACAGAAAGAACAACACGATTTATCTTGGTCATCGTCGCTCTAAAGCAAAAGAATCATAAAATAAATCGATTAGATTTACTGCACCTGGGAAAACGCAAATCTTATCTTTCTAACAACAGCAAACGGGTTTATGTGCATGGTTATTATCCTCCAATCTACGTTGTCCTATTTTTTTGGCTTCTTAGTAACAGTTTCGATGAATTTTTCTCTTAGTTCTTGGGGTTTTTGGTTTACAAAACTTGATGTATTGTATCTTAATGATGAATTTCATGTTTCACTCCTCTTAAAAATATCATATCCTCGGTTGCGGAAGGTGGCGAGTTCTTGCAAATATTCTCGCAGCATATACAGTAACTGATGCCAAACTATTTCCCTTAGAAATGATATTAATTAAATTATCGTAGCTCACCTGTTGAACCTTAGAATCTGACCGTTCACTGTCACTGTCCTGTCTCTCTCCAGCCCCCTCATAAGATTTTCTCTATTCAAATAGAATAAAGCTTAAGTAAAGCACCCCCCCCCCATCCATTAGCTGCTTCATGTGTCTACATGATTTCATTGAAATATGAAGCACACGCCCAGTTTAGAGAGGTCGAAAGATGAGAGTTTCTGTTCAAACTCTCAAGGTTTTACCTAACTCAGTAAACGCGCAGCTTACGCCTGAATAAATTGTTTTTGTTTTTACACTTTCAACGCGCCAGTTTTGAAATATTTATGAATAAAGATTACCTCTCCTACACTTCAACCCAAACTCGCACGTCATGGGAATAGTAGGCGCTCCTGTGCTATTGAATTTTTTTTAGAAATTCTCTTTTCTTAGTAAAGCAAAAGCTCCACTAGAACAAATTTAAATTCTTTTCACCTTTTACCCTAAGGAAAAATCTCACGTACTCTGAAGTATCACAGACAAAGTACAACTAACCAGTTCTTGAGAATTCACCAAAAGTTCACTCTGTTAGATTTAAAAAAAAATCTGCATCAGAAAGGACTGTCGATGATCAAAGAGAGAACGCAAGATAGTGGTGATCACGAATTGCATGTATCTCTTCTCTTTAAAAAGTGTTTATCGATAGGATATTAGCATATTACCTCGTCGGTGGAGTTCCCCTTAGGACGGTTGATCTCTGTCTTAACTTTCTATTTTTCTTTCTTTTTAACCTGGATTATTTTGTGAAAGAAACATTGGAGGCTGGAAACGTGATTGAGAAACTCTCTTTTTAATCATTAACTTACAGGTGCAGAGTGGAGGAGTTTAGGGGAGTCATATGGTTTTAATGGGGAACGCAGTGGGATCAGTCCTCGCCAACAGAGTATTATGGGGGGAAACTGACAGCTAATTAACTGTCAATGAGGGTGGGGGAAGGTCACTAGAATTATTATATAATATATAGAGCTAACCCCTCCCTCCCCTTCCGGCGATAAATAATGACCAGTTCATTGGATATTTTGACAAATACATTAAAACTTAGCATTAATTCCATTCATTATTTAGCTTGATCCCTAATGAACATTTTACCGCTGTGATGATCTTGTATGGAAGCCAGAAGAAAAACAGTACAAGTACACTTACAAGTACACGTACAAGTACAGGTACAAGTGCAAGTACAAGTACAAGGTTCGTAGGCACAGGTACAGCATTCTCTTTGTGAATCCATTCTAGCCACATTTGGGTTCTTGAAAACTTCCATTCTGTAATTGCATTTTTCTAGAAAATTGAAGTTCAGAAATTCGATCAGTTGATGGCTCATGCTAAAGTGAATGACTAGGAAGAAAATACATCCAGCTCCAAAAATAAAAAATGTTAAAGTGCAGGGCTTACGACTTATACCTCAATACTTTTTGGACCAACCGCCAAGACCCACGCCCGTAACATTCCAACGATATCACACTTTATCATATAAACTACGGTGTTATACAAGGATTTCCAGCCCTGAGAAAAGCCTTAACAACACACGTGAAAAAATACGATATCTTTTCACCTGTGTTTGGCATCGCCAATCAGCTGCTGACACGTCACTCGCCTTTCGCGCTACTCGATCAGGTTAATGAATGAACGGCAAAGCCTTTACCATTCTCAATCCGAGATCGTTTGTCAGAGATTTTTTCGGATTATGGCTGTTAAAACACTGAAAAATTCGTATCGCTTACAGACAGTGACGTTCAAACTTTTCTCTAAAAGGGGAAGAAAACCAAAATACGAGAAGAAAAACCGAAAGTTACGTATTCAGTGGCTTTGGTGATGGCACTCCTCATAGCAGAGAACGAAAATCAATAATTAGAAGATTTGCTACAGGTCGATTTTGGCCGTGTACCTGAAAGATTTCTTCTGTCGGTAAGGGCCAATTCTAAAACTGAGAATTTTTTGTATTGAAGATGAGGCCCATTGTTTGTTTTTGTGGTGATTCAACGCATGTTTTCATCTTAAGTGCACCAACGCAATTTACGATTTTTATTCGAAGATTGTCGATCCTTTTATTTTCATTCATTGGTAAAGTCGACTTTCCTTGTCAGTAAAGGGCTATTGTGTTTATTTGATAAACAAAATAACATATGGGCGCGCGCAGATATAAAAGGGTATAACCGGCTGAGTTTAGCACTCAATTCTTATGATGAATTGCTTATTGGAAAGTGAATTCTGTCTCCTTTTACTCTCAAATCAAGACAAAAAAGGCTGTATAAATTAACTTAGAGAATCCAACTCTGGACCTACATTAAAAGCACTGGCGGTTATCTCTGTTTTTGAATTTTTAGCCGTTGATGGATTTGATTTCGCTGTGTTCACTTTAAAGTGGAATTGTTATTATTTCCTCTCACAGTGTTTTAATTATTCGAGACACAATTTCGTAACCAAATTCGTGACGTCATTTTGTAACATAATTTTGTTGACTAATTTTACATCCACTGTTTTAGTATATAGTAATCACTACTAAAATTATTACTATCATTATCATAATTATAATGGCTATTATTATCATCTTCATCAAAATCTCTCAATTACTACGTGCGGTGTGATTGATCAATTTGGCGGGCCGTATTCCACTGTAAGACTCGCTCAGAAAGGTGGTTTTGTTTGCCAAAAGAGACATATTAAATATCTTAGAAAGTCCGTTTTCTTGGTCCGTACTGTAAGTTACAGAACGTCGTTTTTTCAGCGCTCGGATTTATGACCCAATTGCGTAACACACGGGCCGTAAATAAACGGAGGAAAATAATCGGTCTGCAACGTAGAGTACGGAACGAGAAAACGGGTAAGATATTTGTTATTTTTGATATCGGTTTACTGAGAGTACAAGTGACATGCATTCGGAGACTTATGGTCAAAAGTGATTACTTTATCCAACTCAAGGTCATATGAACTGCGGAAATGAATCAATCATAAGAATATATTGAATATACAGAATATGACGTGTATAACTTACCAAGTGGTAACATCGAGTGGCCTGAGCTGGTTCTGCTGTATACACTCGGGAAGGAAGAGGTAATGATCGTGCATAGAAATGTCAAGTATGACATGAGATGGTTGATGAACTTGGAGTAAGGATGTTCGAAAAATTTCCTCAATTTCCAGCATGAACAGCAGGAGGATGCACCGCAGTATTCGTTCAACAGTTTTATCAGTAGATAAGGAATGCTCATCACGAGTGAGAAGATAAAATGAAAAAGGAACCAAATGCTCTTTACGACAAAACCTTCATCTCTCCAGTCCCACCATCCACGGTTGATCACCTCGTTGAGTACATACTGGCAGTTGTAGCTCGCCACAAACTGTGCCACAATTAAATAAGTGACACCGTTAAATAACTGATTTTCATGATAGACAGTTAGAAACTGCTAAAGAGGGCTACATTAAGATGAAGTTAGGCACGAAGCTATAGATTGAGAGCTAGATAAATGAAAGATCCTTCTTCGTCGTTCGTGACGGAATTAGACCCGGCACAGATAAATGAAAACAAAGTATGTCTGATCTATGTATGCCGTGATAAATAGCTATAAATAATGATTTTCTAAGTACAGAACTGATCCTAAGCTGGAAACGGAGAACTTAATTTTGCAAGAGATCGTGTTCGATATCAGTTCAAATTACAGATTATCATTAAGAAGAAATCCGCAAAGAAAACGAAAGGTTTGCCTCGAACCTTCGAACTCTGGAGAATCAGCGTTTGTCGTTGAATGAACTGCTGACAGACTAAGTAAATAATAATTTGAATTCTGAGAATTGACGAAGATTTCCGGCTTCGTGTTTGAGTCTGACTTTGGGTTTAATTCTTGGTTACTTATGAATTGAAGGTTGTAATATTTGACGAATAAAGCAGACAGGAAATTTATAAAATAGGAAAATATTGAGATATACATGTAAAGTTATGGATAAATACACTTACAGCTATTCATTCTTTTAATTTTTTTTTGGTCTGACCTTTTCGCCTCGCCAAGGTTATTTAAGTAATTCTGTAATCAATGAAGCTCACTGTTTTAAGGCAATGAGCAAAAATGAACTTGACTTCTTAACTTACCAACTTTCGTTGTTTCTCCACGCCGAACCTCACCAGGCTCACACTCGGCATGAAATTGTCAGGCTTTTTCTCATTCAATAAACATCCTGTGCCCTCGATATCCATGATGAGGTGAAGCGGTTTCAGTTGGGAAGGACCTATTTGGGCAACGATATCTACGGCCAATTTCTCAAGGTCTCTCGCGCAATTCATGTAGTCGTCTCGACTGTATTGATGATACTTGTACGCGGCGATTTTCTCTAACAGGAGTGAGTCACGGAGGGATGCCTCAATAATGCCAGACAATGTAGTTTCTTTACGCTTTATTCTTTGCTTATCTGCCTCCATCTCCGATGTCCCATTCGCATTCGGCTGATTTCGGGTATTCGAATCAATCTCCCACAACCATTCGAGGGTTATGTACAACGGGTTGCTCAATATGAGGATCCATCTCCTTTCTTCTTCGTTTTGTGCCGTTGTCGTGTCTTCGATATTGTCTTCAGTGCTCTTGCAAGAGATCCATTCTTTGAAATATTTGCATAGTTGACACACTTTATTCCACGTCTCCGACATCTTCCAACGTGTGATACTTATAATGTTGTTATCTTCCTTTACGTTCTCCTTGCGCGCGATAGTTCTACAGTCATTGCTTAAGTTGTCAAGGGTCTTCTTATCATTTTTTTCTCTGAAGTCAGCGATGAGTCTCCAGACCAAGACAACATCATTCTTTTGGAGGGCAACTTCCAAACGATCTTCCCAGGCTTTAGAGGATTCAACCTCGTCTTCGACGTCTTTTTTTGCCTCCTCACGTATTAATTTCAAAAAGGTATCAGAAACATCAGTCTCCTGCGTGTCTAGGGAACAATTTTGTGCCATACCATTTGTGTCTTCTACATCTACAGAATCTTTATCTCGTTGTGTGTATGGACTGCAGCCGCGTCACCGAGACTGACTGTGAGTCTTCTGCTGGTCTCGGGAACGTTTTTGAGCTACCTGTCCATTAATATCTTCCACATCTACAGAACTGTTATCTTTTGGTGTATACGGACGGCATCCGCGTTACCGAACACACCTAAATGTTCAGTCGACCTCACTACAATGTCGGCTTTCAAAAGTTGAACTTTAGACTAAGACTTGATAGCGTTGAAATGCGATCTCAAGGTAGACAGAAATGAATGACACTCAAAAACTGAAAGTGCTCTATGAGCAAACTCTTGAATTGACACATGATTTTTTGGATTATGTTTAATGTTATCTGGTTTAGGGAATTTTGTGGTTGATTGTCGTATCTAGAGTACAAGCAGTAGTTCAGTGTTCGCTAATGTAGCAAAGAAACAAAGTAATTGAAATTGAAATGATCATGCTATTACATCTGACAAGGGTGGATGATGTCATGTGTTTTAAAAGTATATCATTTTTGTTTTTGGTTCAAAAGAAAAGGTTGGAAGTAAATGTGGGTGAAAAGTGAAATTTACTGTCTATCATTGTAAAAATTAGAAAATCAAGGCAATACTGTCTTAATGAAAACATTAACGATTCCCTCTTTATCAAATGAGACAAACGGGAACGAGTTTTGAGTGATATAACTAAGCCAAGACTGCCACCGTCATTTTGGATCTCCGCCTGGGCAGATTTTAGTCACGTGAAAGGCAACGTATAATCAATAACAAGATAGAATTTCATTTCAGGCTTATTTATCAATTTTGTGGTTTATAACTTTCGCATTTTAGTACGTAATACGTATTTTGAATCTTCAAATTGTCTTGAACCTTAAAAGAAAATTGTTCGTTAAAAATTCACTGAAAATCGGTAGCTAAAATTGTTTGTTTAGGCGTTATTTGATTTTCGTGTTTACTTGTAATTTCGTCAGTCGTCGGCATCTTTTGTTGCTTCACACAAGAAAGACACACGAAACCGAACGTAATGATCGATTTTGTCCTCAATCTCACGCCATAACAAGAAAAGCTTTTGAACATCTGTAAACTCCGTGCGCTTTGCAGTAAGTGATATTTTCAATGAATCTTCAGATTGTTTTCAAGTTCAAGGATTGAGAATTACAATTTTATGAAAAACGAAGGTTGTTCTGTTATTTCAGTGTGAATCCTAGCATGCCTGCCAGTCGCTGGCGCCGCTTGTTGAAACTAAAACGAAAAAAAAACACTCTTTTAAGATTATCATTGGCTTCTTTTTCACCCCACCACTATTCTTAGCAACAAAGGTCGCCATTTCGTTTGTTTATTGCTCGCCAAAAACTATCAAATGCACTCAAAAGCCTAAAATCGAAAAAAAGTTTACAGGAATCGACCAACCGAGCGAGCGAGCAAATGCTATTCCCCACATCGTATCTATAACTCGCTCTTGCGCATGCGCGCAATTCACGAGTTAAAAATGAAAAAGAAAGAAACAACAAAAATGAAGAAGCCAACGGCGCGTGCAATATAAAACAAACCAATATAAGATCTCTTTCTTTATTCCTTTTCCTATTCTTCGGGGCTGTCCTACAAACGAAATCATTACATCGAGAAGTTACTAAAGTATTGTGCGATCATAGGTTAACTAGCAACATTTTTCTGTCAAAACACTAATCACGGAGGCGTCAATCAAACTAGAAAATGTTTCGCAGCTTCTATCGGAAGCGGTAACACTATCTATCACGGATAAGATAACGAGACGCAAAGCCAACCAAATTTGTAAATTTGAGCAGCTTAAGTATAAAGATGGAAACTCTTTTTCAATAATTACGTCTTTATAACTTTAACGAATAAAAACAAACTAGACATGGCTAGATGCTATTCTGGTTTATAATAAAGTTCGGATATAGCGCGCGCTGTCATTGGTTGAAAGAGCGTGCTCTATGAGAGTATAGAACATAGAACTGAGCTAAAGCTGTCACGCCATCCGCCAAATTGTACTATGTTCGACCTTTTCCGGGACTTCTTTTTAGCTTTTTTCCGATAATTGAAAGTGAAGTTTCGGAACAAGCGAGCCGGCAAGTAGCAACAGAAGAACTAAATAAAGGTTTGTAAACATACCAGGCGCCGTAATTTACGTTATTAAAACGTGAGCAGATGCGAAAATCCTCAAAGGAAAAACAAAATAGACATTCCGAGTTTTAAAGATTAATTCACGCTCAGTTAGATTGCAAGCTTATGTACGGAAATAAAAATCAAACACAGCTAACACTCATATAGTATTTAAAGTTCAGTGTTCAAAAACAAAACAGAACAAAACAGAAATGATGAAAAATATAACCAAACTGGCATAACTGTTAAAATTCATTCTAATCATGACGGTGTCTGAGCGAATATGATCATGCAGAAGTCCATCGCGGCTCGCTCATCATGGCGATCTCCGGTCATCACAGTAAAGCAAGTCTCAGAAATTATATCGGCCGCCCTTCGAGTGAAAAAATAAGAGCTTGCTCTGATATCCTTTCCGATGCGTTGAGTGGAAAGTCACTGCAGCCGAGTTTTGCCGTATCCCGAGCGATCTTCATGTTTCGGTGAATTCGGTTGTCGTTCATTCAAAAAACACTCGCCTTTCACAGTTTGTTTTATACCTTGTCATGTGGAAAAACTCGCGTGTTTTTATGAGCCATAATTCGGCTGAAGTTTACTGAACATTTCACTTCAAGATTCTGTATGAGAGACTTAAAAACTTCAGGCAAAAGTATTAAATTCGACTTGCCGAACTATTTTAATTTGTGAACTATCGTAGAATGTGGACTTTGATGGTTTTTGAACTTTGATGATTTGACACTTTTGACAGCTTTAGTCTTGTACAGCCAATCAGATTATTTGAACCATTCTAACAAGGATTCTGATTGGCTTATTGTAGCGTGCTTTATGAGAGTATAGAGCATGCTGACGACACTGTTCTTCGCTTTGGAAATAAAGTTTGTTCTGAAAATTTAAAGTAATGCTCGGGGAATTTAATGGATTCTTTATTATAAAAGAAATAGAGAAGCCTTGACTGTGCTCTGTTCTGTTATAAAGCACTTAGGAAGCGGCTAGAGCACTCAAGAAGTGGGAAGAAACACTCGACTACGTCTCGTGTTTCTCCCTACCCTTCTTTCATGCTCTAGTCGCTTCCTGCGTGCTTTATAACAGAACAGAGCACAGTCAAGTAATGGAGAAGTTATAATTCATAGACGAGTCTATGAATTGTACCTTTTTGAATCCAGAGTAGAATCAAACCATGTCTGATTGTCCCCCTGGTTGCCTTGTGAACTTTAAAAAACAAACCACTTAAAGATAGACTCTGTATGTGTGGCCTCGCACTTTCTCAATCATAAGACCCGCGTAAAAACTATGGTGAGTAATAGATCAAAGCTAAACGATTCCAAAAATTCCCAAAGAAGTGCTTGACACGACTATTTCAAGAAATGAATTTCAATTTCGAAGTATCTGACACTGAACTATACAAGACAGTCAATGTTAGGAAACTCTTCGTGATAGCTAAAAAAATCCAAGTTGATACTATGCAACACTATTAATGGTTGACCGCTTTTTTGTTCAATTGCAAATTACACCGGCAACGGATACATACAAATAGAATCCGACCGCTTCCACCGACCGGAAAGAGTGACCCTCCAAAAGACAGACAACAAAACAGACTGTGAAGGAAATTTGCATGTCCGTCAACGTTTCAAGAAGTTTTTATCATTATCGGTCAACTACTGTCAGATCAGTGATAAAATTTCTTCTTGGCTAACACGTACTTCTGTATTTCAGATTCAAAACTACCTTTGTTCTAAACGCACTGCGGCCAAATGGTAATTGCTAAGGACTCGCTCTTTGATATTTAAGTCTCCCTACCCTAAGAGGAAACTCTACAAAACAAATTGCGTGGAAAATTTCTCAGCTGAATGTTTTTTGGTTGCTTGTCTCGGTTGACTATATGGAAATAAGGACACCCTACTTTTAAATTGCTCTTGTATTGAGTCTTGGCCTTTGCTGTCCATACCCTATGCGGTTTGAGAAACAATTGGAATATGCCAGCTAGGTAACGCATCCTGAAACAGACTGAAGCCTCCTCTACTGGTAAGTGGCTCGAGAAATAAACTGCTGTGAACTCGAAAAATAGTTATTTGCAAGCGAGGCAAGCTTGAATCGCTCTATTAAGTAGGCTGAGACCATAAAGCAGCTCAATGTCTGCGGAACGTTCCTCAGTAGGCGGCAGGACTATCTGTGTTTCATTTTAGACTATTTATCCTAGATGAGTATATTTGTGTGAGCTATCCAATGAAGCTGTCTCATCTTGCAATACGATGTGCTTCTTCCACCTGTGTTACAATCGGGTAGTTGCTACCAGCTCGTCCCATCTCGCTGTGTAACGTTTCTTTAGATACTCCACGACTAGTTTTTTCATTTCTTCAATACGTTTCTGTTAGTTCAAACGATAAAAGATTTAAATTAAAAGGTAGGCCCAAAAGCAAAAACATCCATGAACAGTTATTGATGTGACATAATGTAATGCGGTGTACACGACGTTAAATGTTCTTTGCTTCATAACTTTCTCATAACAGTTTTAAGAGAGTGTCTCTGTAAGAGCGGTCCGGTCGATTTTGCTTGAGATACGGATTTCGCTCGTTTCTCGTGTGTTGTAAGACATTCATGTACCTGTACTAAAACCACAATCAGTTTGATCGGATCTCTTTATTTTTCAGAGTTTTATGGAAATTAAATTTCACTCGAGCGAAGGCTTGTCGTGACACTTTTCAAGACTTTAATTTCATACAACTTTGGAGGACAATTTACAAAAAACTACGGAACTCAGCAAAAAAAACAAATACCACAGCCGTGTATATTAACTCTATCTTATCTATCGAGGCGACTTTCGTAAACATCACGTGTCAATCAAGGAAACAGGAAGACTTGAATGACACCATATTGGTTCGCCTAAATCACACACGCCAAAACCGATCAAATTCAAGGTAAATTTTTGAAAAAGTGAGGCGTTCTTAACTGATCCAACCAACATAGCTAGGAAGTAGGTGCCATAGAAAAGATAACTACAGAAAAAAACTTTGCGGCCCGACCTTTACGAGAACTTTATAACTCCGTGAACTTACCTAATTTTCGACAATCTCCAAGTTTGGCCGCCATTTTGAGGGACTTGTCAACATGAAGCGTAACCGATATAAATCATGCAGGTAGATCTAAAACCGTACGAAATACATGCGAAAGCAATTCAAATGGACTTTACTTTCAATTCAAGCAGCAAAATTTGAAATTGTTCGTTAAACTTACCATCCCCGTGCGACCATTTATTCCAACAATTCAAACACTACAACTTTCTGAATTCCCCTCGTCGATTCCACCGCAAGAAATAGCCTGTGCCACCCAAGCTTCGACTTGAATGTGAGGTACGAATCAAATAACATTTGAAATTGTTTGTTAAACTTACAATCCCCATGCGACCATTTCTTTCAACAATTCAAACACTACAACTAGTGTTCGAATTCCCCTCGTCGATTCCACCGCAAGAAATAACCTGTGCCACCTAAGCTGCGACTCGAATGTAAAGTACGAATCAAGTAACATAACTGCTTCATCTTCGCGGCAATATCACACTGGTATTTTGATTTTCCGATCGTCAAGAACGGTGATCAGGAATCGATCGGTTTGTTTACCTCATAAACGTGACCGCGGACCAGCCGCTAAGTGAAAACAGCATAGCGCGGGGTGGGGTGGGTGGCGGGCTTATGGTCATGAGATATTCGAATACATGCTCAAAAAGCTCTAGGACTATCAGTCTAAACAGTGAAGGCATGCTTCGTGGTACAAACAAATTTTATTTTATTCTCATAACTTTCTCCTTTAACTTAGAGCTGGTATTAATTAGTATATGTAATCACATGAGGCCAAGTACTATTAAGGATTAATTGCACGAGAGTTTTCAAAATTTTCCAAAATTGCCCGAGTCGCGAAGCGACGAGGGCAATTTGGAAAATTTTGAAAACTCAAGTGCAATTAATCCTTAATAGTACGAGGTCTCATGGGATTACTTGTTTATCAATAAAGGGCAAAATTTATACGAAGGAAAATCACGCGCGCAGTCTATTTTTAACAAATTTCAAGATAACGAACGGTTGCTATGCAACGGATTAGCCAATCATTAACAGGTAATCATGCCCTCTCTTGATTACTTAAAATGCCCTCGATTAAGTAAAAATGCCCTCTCTCTCAACCAATCAGCGCTCAGTAATTTTGCCCTTTATTGATAAGTAGAGTTATCAATATATTTTTAACCGGGTACCCATATAACCTTTTTGCTTATCATCAGTGGTATAAAATGAGGTGTCTTTTACACCAGAACCTTTTATTTATGCCCCATTGCACAGAATGAACACTATACTTGATTTGATCTTCTACAAAAACATTGTTGATTATCAACCGAGCAACATTGTACTTATTTCCATCTGTAATTAAAAGCACTTACACAAAGATCTATTTTTTTCCAACGTGATGTGTACTTAAGTACCCTTCATCTAATGAAGAATTTCTTCTCTTTTCGAGCAGATATGTCACGTGACAAAAATAGATAACAGAAAATATTACTGAAGACTACCTGATTCAACTGGAATAATAACTCCAAACAGCTTTTGAATGTCCTAAGACATATGCAAGGTAATTACATCTCTGCCTTGGATACGCTTCCTGACACCATCATGATCAGGATACTGACATGTTACCTTTGCACATCTCCAAAACTTCCCCAGGGTGTGGTGATGCCTATAGCAAATCCACATTTTTTTGTCTATCCTCCTGAGCGAGGTGAAATAGGCCAATCTTTGCCAAGATTAACTCATTTTCACTTAAAAACCTCTTTAGACAGGTGGCAGCTTATCAAATGATGTTTTACTTCGTCATTGCATTCAGACAGTCGTACCAAACCACTTAAGCCACACGAGGAACCAAAGTTTTTTCCATCTTTGCTATTCAAAGAGGAGTCCTGAGACATAATGAACGTCTCGCCAATGAACGACTTCTTCCTGTACTTGTAATTGTTTCCAACGCGATACAAGTTCGAGAGATCTAAAGGAACTCACTATAACTTTGTATATTCGATACGATTTTAATTTCCGCTTCAAAGGAGAAGCCTAATGTAATTCGTGAGTGGTCAGTGGTTACGCTCGTGAGGTAAAGAATGGGTTTGTGACTTTCTCACTCAATTGAAAGACTCGCGTCACTCTTATGAAATGGTTGAACGGAATACAGACTTCGAGCAGTCTCTTATTTTTCTTAAAGATAGTGAGGTCACGCGTATCCTGTGAGCATGGAGAAGCGAGACGCGAAACTCGTATCTCGCGTCTTTGCCGCTCCACGCTCTCAGAGTTGGGCAAAGACAAGACACGTTATTTCCGGTGAGATACAATAGGTTCAATGGTTATCTCGATTATCTTAACACATTTATTTACCTGGTAAAGATTTGCTTTTAAATCTATGAACTGATGGTAGTCCTATTTGGAACGAAACGAATTTGAAATAAAAAAGAATACTAAGTAAAATAAAAGTTGTCTGCAACACGAAGCATGCCTTCGCATTAAGACGGAGAATCCTAATGTTTATCATGATACTTTAATGCATATGTTCGAATCTTCTGATAATCTGCCCGCACCCACCCCTCACCCCGCCCCTCGCCACTGAACCGTACTGTTTTCATTCAGCAGCTGGTCAGCGGTCACGTTTATAACGTAGGTAGGTACGTCATGTATGGGCGTAAACAAACCGACCGATTCTTGATCACCGTTCTTGTCGATCGGAAAATCAAAATACCAGTGTGATATTGTCGCAAAGATGAAGCAGTTATGTTATTTGATTCGTACTTCACATTCGAGTCGAAGCTTGGGTGGCACAGGTTATTTCTTGTGGTGGAATCGACGAGGGGAATTCAGAAAGTTGTAGTGTTTGAATTGTTGGAATAAATGGTCGCACGAGGATGGCAAGTTTAACGAACAATTTCAAATGTTATTTGATTCGTACTTCACATTCGAGTCGAAGCTTGGGTGGCACAGGTTATTTCTTGCGGTGGAATCGACGAGGGGAATTCAGAAAGTTGTAGTGTTTGAATTGTTGGAATAAATGGTCGCACGGGGATGGTAAGTTTAACGAACAATTTCAAATTTTGCTGCTTGAATTGAAAGTAAAGTTCATTTGAATTGCTTTCGTACGTATTTCGGACGGTTTTAGATCTACCTGCATGATTTATATCGGTTACGCTTCATGTTGACAAGTCCCTCAAAATGGCGGCCAAACTTGGAGATTGTCGAAAATTAGGTAAGTTCACGGAGTTATAAAGTTCTCGAAAAGGTCAGGCCGCAAAGTTTTTTTCTGTAGTTATCTTTTCTATGGCACCTACTTCCTAGCTATGTTGGTTGGATCAGTTAAGAACGCCTCACTTTTTCAAAAATTTACCTTGAATTTGATCGGTTTTGGCGTGTGTGATTTAGGCGAACCAATATGGTGTCATTCAAGTCTTCCTGTTTCCTTGATTGACACGTAATGTTTACGAAAGTCGCCTCGATAGATAAGATAGAGTTAATATACACGGCTGTGGTATTTGTTTTTTGCTGAGTTCCGTAGTTTTTTGTAAATTGTCCTCCAAAGTTGTATGAAATTAAAGTCTTGAAAAGTGTCACGACAAGCCTTCGCTCGAGTGAAATTTAACTTCCATAAAACTCTGAAAAATAAAGAGATCCGATCAAACTGATTGTGGTTTTAGTACAGGTACATGAATGTCTTACAACACACGAGAAACGAGCGAAATCCGTATCCCAATCATAATGTTCGGAATGCACACGCGGTCCTTATGAAGAGAAGCTATTCTGTAGTCGGGTTTCGTCTCACAGGTTGATTAAATATCGTTGTGTTTCTACCGAACGTCTCAGTGGTTATTTAACCGTAAACACCACACATGGTAGCCATAAAAATTCCTAGTAAAAGTAAACATAGATCCAAAGTCAAATTTCAATATTTAGTTCAGTGTAAATTTCCTTTGACACTCAGTACAATGAAGTAGTTAAAAAAGGGCCCCATCTTCAAATAAACAAGTGTGCATTACACACGCAAGGGTAATTTTAACCGTTTGTCGCAAAAAATGTTGACCGTAAGGTTTTTTTCTTTCAATCGAAACGGAACGAAATTAACCGTTAGCTAAAATAATAAAATAGCTAAAACCTCAACCGTTGGCCTTAAAAGCCATTACCCCGTTGAGACCCTCCATTTCAGTTAACCCTTTAACTCCCAAGATTTGATTGTTAATTCTCCTCTCTGGCTGCAACACATTTCCTTGTAAATTGGTTACGAGAATTTGGTGTTCAATCAAGGTAATATCTTGTACCCGATGAGTTTGAGTATTCTCATTACCAGTTTGCTGAAAAATGTAAGGATTTTATAGGGAGAAGTTCCGTATTAATCACTTCTAGGAGTTAAAGGGTTAAGTGCAATTTAAACATCCACAAATTTGATATCAAAAGCCCAATCAAATAAATTAAGTTTTATGATTGAGAAAATCAAAATAATGGATTTATCTTTTAGATATAATATGTGACACTATGATAAACACCAGTCACGTTTTAAACATATTCTCAGATTGAAGTTCAACTCGGCGTGAGATGTCTCGCAAAATTGTAACGCAGAATTGGAAGCTTTTGCCAAAGAAAAAACAAAAGCGTACGGAAAATTCCCTCGCAGCAAATGTTTAATTTTTGAAATATTTTACAAGCCAAAATTTCATAGCCATTTAGATAAAGGAAAAATGTCAATTAAGGAAACCCACAATCCTTGACACAATCAGTTGGGACTTTTCTCCAGAGCAACGTGTTTGATGTTCTTTCCTGTCTTTGTATCTTCCAATATTATTAATTGCCAATGTGTCTATGCCATCTTGCAGACTGACAGTGAGACGGGCAGGGGGAGGCAGTAGGTGTGTTGTAACATGGGACACCTACGGCTGTGGTTCTCGTTTTAGGTTTTATGCTAGTATTGAATTTTCTTTGAAAGGAAAGAGTTGCTATTGTTGTTGTTTTGTAAAATTGAGGTCATAGTTACTTAGGCTGGTTGAAAGTGTCTGATGTATTTGTCCAAGACGTAGCTCAAATGCGTTGATAAAGAAATAAAACTAATATTTTAAATGAAAGACTGTCAGATACCTCATTTGGTGATTGGGGGTCTCTGCAGCATTTACACTCTTTTATTTTCTCCCAGAATGCTTTAAAGCGATTTGCTTGGTCATTTTCCCCCTGTAAAAAAAGCATAAGTAACTGAAGTACGAGTTCCCTGTGGGTTCAGAGGTTGCCCTTTGCGAACAGACATCCGTGGAGAATCCCAGAGGGGGAGAGGATGGGGGCGTCTGTGCCTGCCACGATAGTACCATACGGGAAAAAGATGTCGTCCGTCATTTAACTTCACAAGGAATTTGGGTTCAGATGGACACATGTAGGAAAGTTAAGAGAATGCCTCGCCTGCCAAAATTACCCCCTTGGATACGCCAGACGAGGTATAAATAATTTAATATTTCAATGAATAAGGGGAAAAGCGTGGGAAGAAACTGGTAAAGAGTAAAGATTGAGAGGTAAGTGTTTAGGGATGACGGGAAACAGGAGATATGGGAAGAGTTAGGGATATGAGAGAATGGATGAGGAGTGACAAATCACAAGCAAGAGGGGGGTAGGGAGGGGGGGCAGAGCAGAGATGAAGGAGGTTTCACCATGGGAAAAGTCGTCATCTCCTGAGAACCTCAGTCTATAGAAAAGTAAAACAGATGCAACCTCAAGAAATCAGGAAACAATTAAGTTGTGTCTGACTTGTTGTTTTATGAGATAATACTGAGATGCGTGTCTTCTTCTCTGATCCGCGCCATTTTGTCCCTAATTGAAATAAAATCAAAGTGCTCTGTGAGCAAACTCGTGAATTGACACATGATTTTTTAGATTATGTTTAATGTTATCTGGTTTAGGGAATTTTGTGGTTGATTGTCATATCTAGAGTACGAGCAGTGGTTCAGTGTTTGCTAATGTAGCAAAGAAACAAAGTAACGTTGGGATAAGAAGGCATTACAATTGAAATGATCATGCTATTACATTTGACAAGGTGGATGATGTCATGTGTTTTAAACGTCTATCATTTTTGTTTCTGGTTCAAAAGAAAAGATTGGAAGTAAATGTGGGTGAAAAGTGAAATTTACTGTCTTTCGTTGTAAATATTAGAAAATCAAGGCAATACTGTCTTAATGAAAACATTAACGATTCCCTCTTTATCAAATGAGACAAACGGGAACGAGTTTTGAGTGATATAATTAAGCCAAGCCTGCCACCGTCATTTTGGATCTCCGCCTGGGTAGATTTAAGTCACGTGCTAGGCAACGTATAATCAATAACAAGATAGAATTTCATTTCAGGCCTAGTTATCAATTTCGTGGTGTGTAACTTTCGCATTTTAGTACGTTGTATGTATGTTGAATCTTCAAATTGTCTTAAAAACTTAAAAGAAAATTTTTCTTTAAAAATTCACTGAAATCGGTAGCTAAAATTGTTTGTTTAGGTGTTATCTGATTTTCGTGTTAACTTGTTATTTCGTCAGTCGCCGGCATCTTTTGTTGCTTCACACAGGAAAAACACACGCGACGAAACGTAATGATCAATTTTGTCCTCAATCTCACGCTGTAACAGAAAAAGCTTTTGAACATCTGTAAACTCCGAGCGCTTCGCAGTAAGTGATATTTTCAATGAATCTTCGGATTTTTTTCAAGTTCAAGGATTGTAAATTACAATTTTATGAAAAACGAAGGTTGTTCTGTTATTTCAGTGTGAATCCTTACATGCCTGCCAGTCGCTGGCGCCGCTTGTTGAAACTAAAACGAAAAAAAAAACTCTTTTAAGATTATCATTGGCTTCTTTTTCACCCCACCACTATTCTTAGCAAAAAAGGTCGCCATTTCGTCTGTTTATTGCTCGCTAAAAACTATAAAATGCACTCAAAAGCCTAAAATCTAAAAAAAGTTTACAGGAATCGACCAATCGAGCGAGCGAGCGAGCGAATTCCATTCCCCACATCGTATCTATAACTCGCTCTTGCGCATGCGCGCAATTCACGAGTTAAAAATGATGGTAGAAATAGTGCTCCTAATAATAATGATAATGACGATGATTATGATAATGATTATGAAGACAAAGATAAAGATGATAACAATGATCATGATGGTGATAATGACGAGAGTAATCGGGCGAGTTATTTCAAACTGGCTGTGCGCAGAGCCAATAAGAAACTCCGCAAATAATTAGAGGAGTTACTCAATGATAAAAAAAGAGTGACAAACACCAGATACTCAATTTGTTGGTCTAATTATGTGATTCAAATATGCTTATGTCTTGTCATCAAGTGTTGTCTTCTATTCTGTGGACCACAATGAGAACTACTGGTTCTACCGGTAATTGTGTTATCCAATAAAGTCATTATTATTATTATTATTATCTATTAATTATAGATAAGTTACATCTAACCTCCTCTGATGACGGGCAATCTGCAACACTGTCACCATTTCCCTGCTCAACGTCTGCAACACCGTCACCATTTCCCTGCTCCACGTCAGTTTGTCTCTAATTGAGAAGAAAAAAAAACAAAATGTTACCGAAATTGCATTTAATTAAAGGTATTGTCTATGGAGTAGAATTCCAAATTCAGATTTTTAAATTTTTTAAGACGATATCGGTGATATCCAGTCATAAAAGTATCCCTTAATCAAAAATATTAACCATTTAACTTGAAACAATTTAATGGCAAGATCCGCGGCTTGCTTGTCATGTAACTAACCGTTTCCTGATGTGACAATCGCTCCATCGAAAAAGATTGAAGAAATAAATTGATCTTACTCTGGGTCTCATTCAGTAAACAGTGAAGCTCCTAACTCCCCTCGATTGTGCCGCTCATTCACACCTTTGGCTTCCACTCGCAAATAAATATTTCTGCTATGTTGGCCACTTACACCTTCGCAGCAACACTTTTTAAAGCATTCTGGAAATAAACAGCGCAGTATGAAGTACAAGAGGTTGAACGGCACGGGAACATTATTTATTCTATCGATCCATTCCAACCACATCTGAGTCCTTGTAAACTTCCACTCCACATCTGCGTTTTCCTGAGAATGAATGAAAAAAATGTGTTCTATTGCTTTAGCGAAACCTACATTAGTCATGTTTCAAAAACACATTGCCTACAGTTGGTGCTCCTTAAGTTCGACATCCCAAAATCATTTGCCACTAATCTTGCTGTTCCTGTGTGTGTATGTTTTTTTTTTCTAAAGACTTTCAATTGTGGAAAGCCAATTAGATGTATTCTTAAAGTGTTTTTCGGAAAGAGAGCTATCAGTGACCAAGAGAACAAGTTTGAGAAAAGTTTGAAAAGCTTGTGATCAGGCGATTATGTCTTTTGAATCTACGTGTAGCCGACGTATTTGGAACCATTGCCAAAGAAAAAAAAAATTTTCCACACCATGATCCTGTTGAAAGAGTTGTTCATCATTGCGATCAGCATGTTCAAAGCTACAATGACTGTACAAATCACATGGGCAATAACAAAAAGGTGGCCAAAGGTGGAGGTGAGGGAAAAAGCGGGATCCTTAACCGAGATTTTGTCTTCTTCCACGAGACCAAGCAACAGCCAGAACATTTCGAGGAAGGTTTTTGTGTGTCTGAAAACAAATGAGACGAATACAAGATTTGAGAAAGAAAGGCTTGGTTGATGATTAGGTACGATAACCTCCGTCACTTTCAACGTAACTGAATCGTCGATCTTCTGTAAAGGCTCGGTTGACGCAGGACATAGGTTGTTACTTGTGACGGCCGAGTATTCATCTGAACATGATTAAACTGCTTTCTAAATTCAAATGATGGTCGTGTCTCCCTGGTGTTCAGCTTCTGATCGGGTGTGATGTTACAAGTTAATGTAAATTGGCCACCGTAAAGAGTTTCAAAGCTGACGTTTCGAGCGTTAGCTCTTCGTCAGAGCGAAACGTCTAACGCTAACGTTCGAAACGTCAGCTTTGAAACTCTGGTGGCCAATTTACATCATCAACTCAGTTGATAAAACCAAAATTATGTTATTATACTCTGCCACCGACGCAGCACCGCAGTTTCTTTAGAATCTTGCCCTCTTTATTCATTTATGATCTTATATATCTGACAAATGAGAGAGACTTTTACCGAAAAAAATTAAAATCTTGTGAGATTTACGAGCTGTGAAGCAAACATAAGTAATGTAAGGCAATTTGGTTCTACCAACACTTCGCTAAAGTAATCAATTGACCACTGTGAATAGCTTCAAAAGCTGATATTTGGAGCATTAGCCCTTCGTCAGAGCCAATGAAGAAAAGATAACGCTCGAAATGTCAGCTGTAGAAGGTCTTTCTGGTGGCCAATTTACATCATCAACATATTAATTGTATGTTGATAGGACCAAATTATCTTGTAATGCCCCTCAACGACGCAGCACTACAGTTTCCTTAGAAACTTTCCCCCTTTGATTAGTATTGTATTTGCACAAGTATACGTACATTGCATATGGATGAGACACCTGGGGATGACTGGTGGCGTTCTGTTTATGCAGCTCTTTCTGAGAGGCGTCATAGTACGAGTAAATCTTGGCCACGCCCGTAGTGAATGCTATATAAAGAAGAAGGAAGATGCCAAGAAACTTGAGGACATCTTTCAACATTTTATAGAGGGACAGTTGCAAGGGACCCAGCGTTGAATGGACTTGGAAAATGTGCGCCAAGTGGAAAAATGCCACCACAGAGCCACTGGCATAAATGGCGTCAGCCACGATGAACGCTTGTTTCTCAGGTTTCCACCCTCCGTAAGATCCCCATGCACCCACCCAGATTTTGTAGGACGACAGAAATGTGAAGACAATGACTGTGGCAACAACATTCCACCATTTTGAAAAGTAATTAAAGATGCCCTGCCTGCAGAGCTCGTTTAACTCCTGCAGAAGTAGACCAAATACGAAGGCAAGAACAGCGTAGTCTGTTAAAAAAAAAGCAAAGCTTTCAAGCTTTACCTAACACAAATTGACCTCTGTGCGACGGCTGGTTCTACTGAAAAATGTTGTCGTAATCCCTCCGAAACCAGTATGTGACGACATCACCTAAATTTAAAACTAAGCAGATGCCTTACCCAAATTGGAAAATTAACAACTGCATGATACGACTCCTACATTACATGCTGAAAGGTTTCCTCACCATAAAATAGCTCTGAGTGCACTAAGATATTTGCGCTCTGGTACAATGTTTCCCTTATATTTTACTACTCCAGCCCGTGTTTCCTTCCCCTTTAGCCAAGCTCTCGCAAGAATGAAGCCAAATCTATTGTCACCCAAAGAATACCATACTCATCTTCTCATGTAAAATACTTTGGTAGTTTGATTATAAAGCTTCTTCTTAGCGACTCAAGCTAGAGTTTCTAATGAGCTGTGTATGAACAAATGAAAATTGGTTACTCGTTAAAAATGAGCCGTTAAGAACTTCTGTGTGCTCCAAACTATCTGTGAAATCTGAAATTCTCTGTATTTCTTTTCCTACAGAGCGTGGCCGCAGTATCCCGTCTTATTGTTATAGCCTGTGCTGATTATCCATACTGTACTTACAGCTTTGAAGGGGTCTATGGAAACAAAGCCCTAGCAGATATCTTACTTACCAATTGTCACCATCTCAGGACCTTCTCGTGTTATCTTAAACTCATCCTGATAAGACGAGGCGAAGACTAAGCAAAGGAACAGCACGTAAGACATCGTCTGGTTGATGAACTTTGAATAGGGATGTTCGTAAAGTTTCCTAAATTTCCAGAAGCATCTGTCCTCAAATTGCCCACGACAGCGGCATCTGCGAATCAGTCGTAGAGGAATGTATACTATACTGGTGAGGGAGACAAGAAGAAATTGAACAAGAAACAATATAGCTTTTGTCATGAATCCTTCATCCTGCCGCTTTCGCCAGCCAAGATAAATGATCTCATTGAGAATATACTGGCACTTGGGACTCGCCACGAACTGAAAATTAAAAACAATTCTATTATAAAACAGTAAATATATAGAGAGTTTAAACAAAATATTAGCTTTAATCTGTCAAGTGAGTTATCTATTACTCTTTTTTTGGATAATGTACACTGAATTATATGCTAATTCGTTGCTGATCTTTCTATGGAGGCCCTTTTCAGTGCATATTCAAAGGGATTTGATAACTGCGTGCTTTTTCTTTAGTCTCCTTCGCAGCAGTTGTTTAGTCTTATCACGCAACGAGCTCTATTCCCCACGACGAGACCAAACAACGGCTGTGAAGGAGACTTCTTGCCTTTAGGAATTAAAAATACCCGAAAAGGCTAAAAATACTGATATTTCAATCGCAGTATGAGTTTTTTAGCGTATTTTGAGTGAAAATGTTTAGACGTTATGGTTCATTGATTTCTTAGGCATAGGTCGCACTTGGCAAAGTTTTACGAGAATTTGTTTACTTTGCGGTCAAAATCTGTCAACGAGACACTTTTCCTAGTGCGACCCTAACTTTTAGGGTTTGTAAGATTTTTGGAAATCGGCAAAAACATCAAAGGCGCCGTAGTGCTTGGCTGGGGCAGGCAGATTTCGGAAAACTCGAGGTTACAATAGCAAAAGGACGATGAGGACAGGAAAATGGTTAAATCTGCCTTGTTAGGACTTGAAACTTAACGTTCTGACATGAATTCTTTCGTAACCAATTTTTCCAGACTACAAGAACCCGCGATCAAACGATAATACTGTTATACACTTATTGTACTTCACGTGAATGAATATTTCAAAGTTTAACCTTTGACGTCATTTCTTAGAGCTCGTCTACCGAGATCATTTTCATTTCCCGGAATTTGAACAAAAGCGAATTTGTTTTGTGAGTTCTTCGAAACGGAAACAACAGGAAGCTAGTTTACCATAACTATATACTTCACTTTCTGTCAAAGTGACATTTTTGTCGTTTATAGCTATTTTAAAACGGTTGAATCTGCAATCAAAGAACTTCAAATACTGTATTTCAATAAACTTAAAAAGTTTTGACAATCTTACCAACTTCCGCTGTTTATCTGCTGCTTTCTTTAACAGACTGAGACTTTGAATAAAATCTTTCGGCGTCTCATTTAGTAATGGTCCTTTTCCTTCGATATCAATGATTTTATAAAGCTGTGAGGCACCGGCTTGCTCGATGATATCAACGGCAAATTGTTCATATTCCTTTGCACGACCCAAGTATTCATCTCGGCTGTAGTGATGTTCATACGCGGCCACTTTCTCAAGAAGGTAAGAATCGTCAAGGGCTGCTTCAATTACGTCTGTTGACTTACTTCCTGTGCGTCTGGTTCGTTTGTTTGTTTCTGGGTTTGTTTGTTGGTTTGACTTGGGATTCATTCTCCAGAGATATTCTAGACTAATATACAGCGGGTTGCTCAGTACTCTGATCCAAGTCTGTTCTTTTTCGCTTGGTATTCCTTCCTTTTGATCGCTATCGTCCTCAATATATATTATTGAGCGGAACAAGGCACACAGTTTCCCACAAGAAAAACGAAAGACACATTTCCAAGAGCACCCATCCTCTTTAATGTTCTCCTCTTCCGCGATGGATCTCCACACATCGCTTAGGCCTTCAAGTATGGCATCCTCATGTTGCTCCTTGGTCTCGACTATCAGTTTCCATACTTCAATAACATTCCTCTTCTGGAGAGCGTTTTCAAGTTGCTTCAGAAGAGGATTCTCTGGATTCTCGTTATCCGTTATTATACAGCGCGACAAGAAATTATTTACCTCTGCCTCCGTTTCTGTCTCTATTTTAAACAGAAAATCATCGAAGCTTTTACTTTCTGGCTGAGCTGGTTGGATATCTGGTGGATTGCACTGCGCCATATTGTTGCCATCAATGGCACACCTACAACGGAAATAGTTGGGTTAGTATGTGTAGTGTTGCAGTTGTGTCTTCCCTTGTGGTTATGTCCTCACACATTATAACCAATAGAACGCAGTTTTACTTCTTCCAATCAAAGTGCGTTGTGATCGTGTCTTCTGCGTGTCACTTCCCAACTAGGGGAGGGATGCAAAGCAAAAGTGTAAAAAGATCGTTAAGATTTCCGCTCTCGAAGTTTGAGAATTTCATGGGCTATCCTTGACACCTTTTGGGACGCTTCGGATTGGTGAAAGAGTAAGATTCTGGTTGCGTTTTAAAGTGCGAGATATTTGGGAAATTTTCTTCCATACGTTGGAAAGCCTAGGAAGACGAGAATTTGACATTGCCTCATGGCTTTCCTTACTTTTCTGTTGGAGCTGGTACAATAAGGTAAGGTTTTCGTTGCACTTCATGTTAGTATTTTTTTAAATTTTAAATATTACAACCATTCTTCAAAGATCGCGTTCAAGTTTTGTGCTAAATTCCAGTAGATTTCATGTAGCGCGCTGCATGATACCTGGATTCATTGAATCCTTCTGTGTCGAGGACTGACTTTTTTATTTTGTTTGGGACATGTAACACCAGATATTACACGTCGATTAAAAAACAGGACAGCTCTCGGTGTTTCAATGATCAAAAACTTGTGATTTTCTTCCAGCCTCAATAATTTGTATTATGTTGCATGTAGCAGTCTCATAGTGTCTACACTGGTGGCTATTATGGGTACAGTGGAAGACATGTATTCATTGTAAATGTATGGGGCTACGCAAAAATTCAGCTAGGATGTATGGTCGATGTTAAACTTCACATATCCTGGAAAGTTAACTTACAAACTGCTTCTACATATGATGAAGATCTGGTCTCTTATAAAGGATAGGGTGCTGGCTCCTAACGCTCTGCAACAAGTTGGTAACAGTTGGGTTATCATTCTCTTTGCTCACCCAGAAGGGCAAAAATTTGCAGCAAAATTACTCATCACTTAATAATATGTGCTTTTCTATTTAGATCAGTGGCTGACATATGCCACTTTCTTTGTTTTGATCTATTTAGAATAAAGCCCCTTGAACTATATACCACAATGATATGTACTTTGTTACCACATTTTACATACTTTTTCAATTGTGTGTTACAAACATTAAAATGAAATAAATACTAATTCATGCACAAATGAATACTTAATTCAATACAGACTATTGCCCATTATTAGCGATTATTGCTCCTACGCTTGTTAGCAAGAACTTGGTCTTGTTGGCGTTCATTGTGAGTGTCTGGTAATCCATATATCAATGGAGACACTCTCTGCAACTATCTTTGTGAAGAAAATACTAATCCTTTCACCCTTACTTAATATCATTCATACAGGCATGGATGAGAACCAGCAGCAAAGCAAAGTAAACAAAAGTGCAGATGAAAGGTATCTGTTGTGCTTGTCCTTGGTGTAAAAATCAGTTTCCTTTGGTTTTGTTAATGATATGAATGAAAATGCATTTTGTGTAGAGAAAGATAAAATTTAGCTCCTAGCCTAAGTTATGGTGAGATGATATGTCACTATCAATTTGGCCTCTTTTAAAAGTAAAAGAATAAACTAAGGATAAAACTAAACCACAGCATACCTATACTAAACCCTCAGCCTATTTGTATCATTATTATCATTTTTTCTGGTGTTTACCCAATAGATTCAATCCACTTACAGACAAAGATGGTGCCTGTAAATTTTACCTTTATTCTTAGGGTAAGACACATGTAGAAAGCAATATTTCGCAAAACAACAACATTATGTATGCAAATTTTAAATTTTTCCGATTTTTTGTGCTTGACTTTTTGAGTGGTTCCAGGATTTTCTTGTGCAAAGAGTTCTAGGTGAATGTACCAGTCACCATGTTTTTTGGTAAGATGGTTTACATTGATTGCTGTGCTCTACATTCATCATTGAAGTACCAATTAATTCCTTTGCCATCAGTAATTAATTGCTTTAAATATACTGTGTCAGAAATCACAGCACTGTGCCCCAAATTTAATGTTGTCCAGGGCACAATTTCATATTTTTGAGCAAGGCAAAGGTAAAAATCAAACAAGACCACACAGACATCATCTACAAGACAACATTACTATGTATATAATGTTTATATAGTTCATTATGTAAAAGCTACTCTATTCATTAAATCAGTGTCAACACTCTCCCTCACTCTCCCTTGTAGCAGATATAATTTTTAGCCAACTTGAGAAATAGTGGCCTAAAATGGACATCCAAACTTTTAAATTTCCAGGGAAAGGTTCCCCAGACTTTGCTATCCAAGTGGGAATAAATGGCTGCCACACTGTCATTTTTTTCCCTCCCAGCTGCTCAAATGTTTTCCCTCCTTTCCACAATCTTACCAAAGCCCCCATATGTGTAGTAATAAAAACATTGAAGTGTAGTGTGCTATCTCAGCAAGAGATGATAATCATGCACACTTTTAAGTGAGTCATCCTAGCAGATGTTTGGTGAGGTATTACATTCTGTGCTCAAAATCTAGTTCACATAGACCTGGGGAAACAGAATAGGGTGTAATAGTCAGGTCGGTGAATTGCTACAAGCTTTAGTTTGGTACCACTACTCATTTGGTTATCCATTTGGTTATCTATCTTGCCGGTAATCTTTCTGGTTATTTGGGTTTTTTATGGAACCTCTTCCCATCAAGAAGAAGCATGGTATGTGTTTGAAAGTTGATAGAAAAGAAAAGTAAAAAAAAAAAAAAAGGAAATAGGGGAGGAACAGGATGGTACCAAAGACAGTGGTACATTTTTTTTTGCAGGGGGTAGTTTTTTTATTTTTGAATTAGGGTTCTAGCCTAAGTATGTCTAAGTTTCTACACTTGTTTATTCTTGTGATTTCTTGCTTTAGGAAGTGAGGTAAAATTGTTTGAATTTGTTTTTTCATTACAGCCACTTGAGTCTGTAAATGGAAAGAAAACACTGAAAAATGATGGTAAGGAACACATTGCTTGCACTATAAAGTACTGAAAGTAATTTGTAACTCTCCATATTTGTTATTTACAATTGATATGCTTTGCACAGCTGTTGTGTGATAAGTGAAGAATTAGTTAACTGTATCTCAAAAATTAAATCACTTTAAACTGCAGCGAAAGCTATTACTTTTATAGTTATAAAAGTATCAAAGGTAACCTCTCTAAGAACCTTCCCTAGTGTCTGTGTTATAGAGGTATCCACTAAATATAGGTTAATTTATTAGGAAATGTGGGAAGAATAGTATGCAACTGAATGATGCAAGTTTCAGCCAGTTGAGGGTTCTTGCATTTTTTATTGTCACAGTGGTGCTAATGGTGTCTCAGTCAATTGCTAACTTAGTATTTAAGTACTAGTTGTGCTTGTTGATTATTTGACTTTCCCTAAATGTTTTTTATTGGTGGAGCCAAAAGAAAAAGTTTGTGAGGCCATGCTTTAAAAAAATGACAGGAAGGCCTTAAAAGCTTACTTAGATCTTTATGAAGATGGAGGGTTATTTTATTGGCAGTTACATGTAAAGATAGGTTGCCAGGGCCACTTACTAGGAGTAGATTTATAAGTTAAAAATACTACATTTGAGCTCAAATTTTACACAGACATTATTCAGGTATGATGGAAATTTAAAAGCACATTCTAGTCTCATTCATAAGCAATGCTATATACTCCACAGGTGTCAAATTTATTAAATTTTGTGTTCAGAATTACTGTTGGCCTTGATATTTTTAACATTATGTAACATTTAACATTATATAACATTGTTTTTAACAAACAATAAAATTTTTTGGTTTTGATCTGAGCAATTAAAAACATTGTCTTGTTTCCAAGGTTTCCAAGGAAGGTTTCTTCACTTCATGCCTGGGTCCTTATGTATATTATTCTGTTTTACAGAAAATAACAGTCAACTCGAGCAGGAAAACTCCAATCAGCCTAGAGAGGCCAGAAAATAATTGTGCTTAGAAATAACAGTTACCTCCAGCTGGAAAACAAAAATGACAGAACAGCTTGCAGGGGCTGGAAAATACAAGTAAGTACTGTAAAAGAATATTTATTCCTTGCTGGTAATCTCAGAACAGCTGTGTAGGGCTGGAAATTAACATTACTGGAATACAACAGTTAACTCCTGCTGAGAAACTGAGAACAGCTGAGAGGGGCTGGAAAATAACAGTGCTGGAATACAAGAGTTATCCACTGCTGGAATTCAGAAACAGGAAACTTTTAAATACTATGCTACAATACACTGAGCATGCAATAATACCTTCCATTGCCTCAACTCCAGTTACTTGTAGAAAGGTCATCTCTGAACCATTAAATAGGATCTGCTTTACTAGTTATGTACAGTTTGCAATACATTAATGAAAGAAAAAATCTTAACCCTTTAACCCTAAGAGTGGCCAGCCTCTAATTTCTCATTACAAAATCACCCCTGATATCACCCCACATCCCACATGAATCAAGGAAATGACCAACAACTTATAAAGCTCTTGATTTTTAAACAAATTCTCCTTGTCAACAGTTCAGGAAATGTATAGAGAACGGTACGGAGAATATGCCTACTGATGTTAGGGTATAAAGGGTTAATCAGTGAGTGTATGTTAAAGGTAGCAATCATAGATAGCTAGTACTTATTTACAAATACTATATTTTGTTTAGCAGATTGTAGCTTCAATGGATGCCAGAAATATGTTGATGAAAAACTGGCAGATACTGTTTTGTGCATTGTGCTGGTGAAGACAGCAGTGCAAGAATAGGTGAAGATGGAATCAAGAAATGCAAAACAGGAGTGAGTCCATTTAGTACTGGAAAAACCATGGAAGAGGTTTCTGCTGGTTTTGGTGTTGCTTTTCCTGGTGAGTATGAATCAGGAGATTTTGAGGAGGATTATGACGATATTAATGATGATTTATTTGTTCTCCTCCCTCCTCTTCCTCTTTCACCATTAGACATTCAACTACTGGACAAAGACACAGCTGTCAAATGAAAACAATATTCAAGGTAGTTAATAATTATGTTGACCATTTTCACTCTTTGTCTCTTTGTTTTTGTAAGATGAGTTTTTTGCTACATTGTTCCATAATTATTTATCTCTATAAACCTTGTTTGTTTTTGTTATTTGCTGAAAGCATTGTGTGCTTTTTTTATAGCCAGTGAACCAGATGATGAAGATTTTGTCCTGTTTGAGCTCCTCAAGCCTCCCAAAGATGCTTCTTATGAGGTATGCAGAATTTGTGAGTGATTTATAGTTTTCTTCTGTTTAGGTTTTCTCTTACATTATTATTATTATTATTATTATTATTATTATTAATTAAAACTATGCATAGATGTTCTTGTAACATGCTAAGTAGTTTAGGGGAATATCATTATTATTATTATTTTATACTATGCAGAGATGTTCTTGTAACATGCCAAGTAGTTTAGGGGAATATTATTATTATTACTATTATTACAATTATAATTACTATTGCTTTTGTTTTATGTGTCCTTTGATGACCAGTTTTGGATGTTTTTTAGTGCCTTATGTCTGCAATAAATTTTAAGGGAAATTATTATAAATACATCTAATGATTGATGTTCCTTCTTTGATTGCTAAATTTGTTTGTTGGGTTAACAGAAGGATGAGGTTGTTTTCATTGTCCCTTGAGTTAATTCATAGCATATTATCATTAACATACTGATACTCAAGGTTAGTGGTACTTCATTAGCAAAGAAGTCCAACCAACCCAATGAAAGTAGGCCAAATGTGCATTTTAATACCAATTTGGTAAAGACAGTCTTTCATCAGCTGAGTGTCATTAAAGTTTCTTTTCTAATGGAGACTGATTTTCTTCACAGATTCCAACCCTACAGATTCTCTATTTGAAAGAAGGAAGGAAGGAAGGTATTCCAAGGCCTTAATGCCATCACTGAGCAATATCTTTTCAAACTAAGGAAGGAGAAAGGGATAAATGTTCCAAGAGGGTGTTACCATGCAGTGATGACAACAGAAAAAAGGTTAATTTTGATTACTGGAGGCAGGTAAGGATGGGTAGGTTGAGACAAAGATTTTTCATTACAAGTGGGATAGAGCCTTGGAATTTTGGACCAAGGAGACCACAGAACTGATGTGGCAAGTATCTTAAAGCAAGTTGATAGTGATGGATGGGTCTTATTGAGCATTACAAAACAGCATCATTATGGAATGTGGAGAGACTGGAAATGGAGGCAACTTGAGGAGAAAGACTTTTTGTAATTTTAAATAAAATCAGTAAAGGAAAGCTATTTGGCACAGTGTAATACTAATAATTAAATACCTAACAGGTCATGCGTTCACTCTAACAGTTTCAATTGGGTTTTGAAGCATGCCTAATTCAAGTTATATCCAAAATTCTGCAGCTCCAAATTGTGAATAGTACCTAGACATGGCCAGAGAACATCAATAGAATGTGACCTCTTAAGCATGTTTCATATCCTTTGGAGTTGTTTAGTTCCAGAGTTTCATATCCAGTGCATTTCCAGAGCAGTAAAATTTTAAAAAAATGACACAAACATTTAAATTGCAAAGAATTTATTTAAAATCTTTACATTTACAGCAACCCATATAAAAAAGAAATTTTACCAACCATTATGAGTGAATGGGTGAATAAAATAGCCTTGACTCCTCAATCTGGTGTCAACTGCTTTATTTTATTCAAAAGTATATAAGGGCAAATTGGAAGGACAGAGTTACTTTCTGTAATCTGTCAAATAGTATTGAACAGTTAGAGCCAAATAGTTGCAAGTGAGTAAAAGGATAGAATGGATTTATTGTATATTAGTGCAGTGTAGTCTACTTTATATTTCACAAATTCCAAAAAATCAGTATTTCACCTGAAGTTATTTACTTGAATTATTTGTACTGAAGATGTTTATTTCCATGGAAGTGTTGCATGTTCAAGTACAACTGAAGGAGTTTTTTTTTAACTAACCATTTGTTTGTTAGATGAGCAATTTAAGCCTGAATTTTGAGTTAGATTAATTACGGTTTGCACATGCGGTTAGAAAAAATATTTAGCACCAATCACTCCTGCTTAAATGACACAAAAAAAGTGTTTATTTGTTCCAAACACTTACAGTGTATCCTATTTATCAAGATGATTTTATCAACAAAAGATATCATAGCGGGAAAAAGGTAACCAAAATTTATATAAAACGTTAAAAAAGGAACAACTAGAGTGATTTTACTCAACCCATGAAACAGTATGTAAACAAACCTGTATGACACCAGCACGCATGTTTGATTGTTGGTTCTCCCCATGTTGTGTGTGGAAAACATGACATAAACCAAAAACTTTGTAATGCACAGTAGTTTATGACCAATTTCACCGGTTGGATAAAATCACTCTTCATATTCATCTACAATATCTTTTTGAGAAAGAAACTGTGACAAAGCCTTGACTTAGTATTAGCATGACTAATTGTTATTGCTCAATTGTCTTCTTTCGTGATGCATGTTAATAGTGACAAGAAAGTAATGCTTGTTAATATTGTCATCTGTTAAAAATTTGATTAAATCTGAATTACTTAAGTTTTCTTTTCTTTTCTTTTCTCATATAAGCATACTGCTTTTTGGGCAGATGTCTCTCTTGAATGAGATCCTTTTGGAATGGCTTTCTTTGCACTCGACTCTTTAAATATTCTGTTACAATGTTTTATCTGACGGTGCATAGAACCCGTAGTCCTCTATGTATATGTGCACTTTGCTTGTCAAGCAAAGATAAATCAATAGTTTGCCGTCAATAAATGCACATGCATCTGTGGATACAGCGACTTCTGGGAAAATTTCCAATTGTCTGAAAACTTTTTTTAACGCTAAATTGACTTAAATTCCAAGGGTGTGAGTAATATACAGACCGGTCTCAACAATAAGAACATCACAGTGGTGAAACATAGCATCAAAACTTGCAGACTGATAAATATTTTATAGGGAAGGCTACATTCTCTTTCCCAGCGATAAAAATCTCCACAGGCTCGGTGATATTTGTCCAATAATCTCCAGGCTTTGTGCTGGGATTCTACAATGTACCGGCTAAAATTATTGACTTCACCCGAGGGTAACCTTTCGACACCTACCCCCATCCCAACATTCTTTTACGCGAATAAAGGGTGCAATTCCGGCGATCTAACTTACAAATGCGGTATATCTGTTCATTCCCATGCATTTCCATGTTTTAAGCGCATTCGAAAATCAAAACAATCAAATAGCTCGTACACTGCATATGTAATGTATTCCAACTTGACATATCCAATATTAACCGCTATTTTCCATTTTTCATTGAATTCTTACAATTTATCCAGCAAGTAGAATATAACATGCCAAATCCAATCTTCACCCTAATTTTCCATTTTCTGAACCAACCTACGAGTGGATAATATCATAACTTTTCCATATCCAATCTTTATCCCGATTTGTTCAAATAACTCTAGAAAAACGAGCTAAACCGTGACAATTCTTTCCACGAGTGGTTAATATCATGACTTGCAATGTCCAATCTGTCCCTGATTTTCCATTTGTTCAACGAATTCTAGAAAACGGGATAAATTGTGTCCATTTATCTTAAAATTGGAATAAATTATAACTCGGAACATCCCTCATTTTCGGTTTTTTTCTGATTAATTCCAGAAAAACGGTGCAAATTCTGAGAATTCATCCCGTATGTGGAATACAATCTAAGTTTCCATACCCAGTCTTCAACCCGATCTTCCATTTTTATTTCAATGAGTTCCAGAAAAACGGGGTAAGATATGAGAATTCATACCGTAAGTGGAATATATCCTAAGTTGTCATATCCGATCTTTGCCCCGATTTTCCATTTTTTGACGAATTAATTCCAAAAAAACAGGGTAAACTCTGAGAATTCATGCTACAAGTGGATATTACCAGAAGTTCCCGAATGCCATCTTTGCTCAGATTTTCCATTTTTTTCGTGAATTCTAGAGAAGCGGGACAATTTCTTAGAATTTGTCCCGCAAGTGGAATATAACCTACTTTGTCATGTCAAATCTTTCCTGATTTTCCATTTTTTAGTGAATTAATTCCAGAAAAACAGGGTAAACTCTGAGAATTCATGCTACAAGTGGATAAAACCTGTAGTTCCCATATGCCATCTTTACTCTGATTTTTCAATTTTTTTTCAAGGATTATGGAAAAAGGGGGCAAATTTTAATAAATTATCCTCCAACTGGAATATGTCCTATTGACCTGCCACATCTAATCTAGTTTACCCCGATTTTCCATTTTTTTTCAATGATTATAGAAAAACGGGATTCATTCTGAAAAGTCATCCTCCAAGTGGAATTTACCCTACTGACTTGCCTTCCATTTTTTTTCAATAAATTCTAGCAAAACGGGGTAAATTCTGAGAGAACATGCTACAAGTGGATAACACCTTAAGTTCCCATATGCCATCTTTACCCCAATTTTCCATTTCTTTTTTCAGCGATAAATTCTACGATTAGCGCTAATCGTTAGCCCCCAAAATAAAGCAACGCACAATAACTTAATATGTATTTAGACGTTTTTTATAACACCCGCTTTCAGTTATTAACTTCCATGGAAATTAAAACATATCAAACTCACGGGGTACAAATAGTCTTAACATGAATATAGTGACCACGCCCACTTCAACGCCCCACTCAAATCGAGTGTAATTTTCGAACATTTTACCATCGTGCGGATTCTCTACGGAAAAAGCACTCAATGTACCTCTGAAATATTAAACTATAATATTGTGGCTTTCTATTTCGCTAATTTTCTAACTTGAAGGTAAAGTTTTTCCCTCGTCATTTTAACCTTTTCTCCGAGCGGTTGCGTGAAATTAACAAGGCGTTTTTGTTCAAAACACAACCGAGCGAAGCGTCTCGGGCGATATCTTTTTTACGCAAGCGCAATTTAAAAATGTACCGCCTGAATCAAAAAGAGGAACAAATTTCCTTTGTTTTGATATGTAAAGTGTCGAACAAAAAGCAGATTTACCCTCGTCAAATGGCGTTTCAAAACAGCTGTATCTTCCTCCTTTTGATTTTTTCCTATTTGGTGAGCGTGAAAGCAGTAGGAGAGGGATCGGGAAACTCAGAAAGCACTTCGGGTATTAATCTGCCATTGTTTACTTACGAGATAAACAAGTAAGATTTGTGAAGTTCATCGCAGTATAAAGTCTAACTAAATGCCTTTTTTAAGCTTGTTCGCTGGATTTTTCGTAAACTTCCCTGATTAATTTTTCGTTTCAGCTTACTAATCTATACTATTTCAAAGCAAAGAAGTTTTCAGAGAAAACCATGAGTGGGTCGTTTCAATGATTGTAAACAAAGTGTTTGAGCAATCAGGTATACGAGGTATAATAATCAATAGCCATATATCAGAAGTCTTCAGAAAGAAAATATTCTGTTTTCAGAAAGCTGTCAAGAAAGCTAGTAATCGTGGCAATTAAATGCACTTCTTAGCAATTTGGAAACGGGCCCTCGGTACCGATTTAAGGTGTATTACAACGAGGTTGATGTACATCAGCTTAAAGATGAGAACAGCCAGTTGAGGGGAGAAAAAATAAAATTAGAAGAATCGTTGGTACAGGAGAAGGTAAAGCGATTGCGAGTGGATAAAAAAGCCCGAGAAGCCCTCGAGAAAGCTGAGAAGAAAGGGGCCTTCTACAATAAAAAATTTATTCAGTTGGCTAAAAAAGTGATTACAAATGGGAAAAAAGGTAGAGGCCCAGCTAAGAAGAAGTTTAATGACTATTCTAAGCACCATCAAAAGATAATTAAAAACCAACTGAAGGAGGAGTGCCAAATACACTCTCCTTTCTTGGGCTGTACAATTTTGTTGCAACCAAAATTTAAGTCCTCAAGACTGAGACTAATCAATATGAAACTTTCAATCTTGTTGGAGAGGGAGAGCTGCCATTTACAGAGTCTGACCCAAAGGCCCTTAATAATGATGACATTGATAACATAAATATGTGGCTTTACCTCAAAGATAAATTCATGATTTCAAATGAGGCCTGGCATGAAATTGCCATTAAGGCTAATGATCTCCCCAATATATATTCCATCAAGAAGCGAATTAATGAGCTAAACAGTGAATGGAACTTGAAACCAACACCAGGAGATGCTGAAGGTGTTCAGTTAGGATTTGCAGAAAGCTTGCAAAAGCACATTGTTAGGCTTCAGAAGAATGGAGAAATCAATGATGGAGAAACTATTAAGATCAAGCTTAGTGGTGATGGTACAAATATTGGAAAGGGGCTTACAGTTGTCAACTTCATTTTCACTATTCTCCATGAAAAGGATGTGGCAATGGGTGAGAAGGGAAATTATATACTTGCTGTTATAAAAACTTCAGAGACATATGATAATCTGAGAGACAGCCTAGTAGACCTTCGA